CCTCGCGGGTTCGGAGCCTCGAGCGCGGCTGCGAGGTCGGGGATGGACGACGGCGGCGCGATCGCGTCCCTCGGCGGGTCCGTCGTGAACGGGTCCGCGCTCGGAGAAGGCCGCCCCGGCGCCGCCGCCGCCGCCGCCGCCGCCGCCGCGTCCAGGGATCCGCGGCGGCTCCCACGCCGCCCCTCGCGCGCGTCGCGCTCCTCCACCGCGGCCGCGAGCTGCGCTAACAGCCTATCCTCCCGCGCGCGCTCCTTCTGCGCCTCGTTCGAGGCGACGACCTCGAGAGACGACGACGACGACGACGACTCCGCGCGCGCGCCGCCCGCCAGCGCCGCGCCCTCCGCGACGGGCGCGTCGGAGCGACCGCCGCCGTGCCCGCCGGTCCCGCCGCCGCCGTTCATGAACGCCGCGCCGCCGACGCCGGCCATCCAGTCCGCGGCGCCGGCGACGCCCCCCGCGGCCGCGCCGGCGACGCGCCCGAGACCATCCCACGACGACATCGACGCGAGAGACAGAGACGACCGCTTCTCCGCCGCCGCCGCCGCCGCCGCCGCCGCCTTCGCCGCCGCCTTTTCGTTCGCGAGCGCGGCGAGCGACGCCCTCGCTCGGCGCGATCGCAGCATCGCCGTGGGGTCGACGTCCGCGGGGTTCACCCCCGCGGCGGTCAACGCGGCGTCGCGCCGCGCGGACGACACGACGAGACGCACGCGGTTCACTTCGAGCTCCAACAGAGACGCGAGCAACGGCGCCGCGTCGGCGCCGCCGCCGGCGTTGATCGTCGCGAGCGCGAGTGACGCGTACGTCGCCTCCGCGACCGCGCCGTTCGCGTCCGCGCCGGGGACGCCGCCGAGCGCGCCGAGCGGGTCCGACGCGTCCGCCGCGCGTATCTCCGCGGGCGCGTCCGCCGAGTCGAGACCATCGGGTTCGGCGGAACTCGACACGGCGTTCGCGCGCCGCCGCCGCCGCGCCGCCGCCGCCGCCGCCGTCGAATCGCCTCCGAGCAACTCGACGTGCCCCAACACCATAACACTCGCGGTCGCCGCCGCGCGCGCGTCGCTTCGAAACGTCAGCGAGACGTACGCGCATGCGGTCTCGTCGTCGTCGTCGTCGTCGCGCGCCAGAGACCCGCCCGCGTCGTTCGCCGCGCGCTCGGCGAGGATCTGCTCCTCCGTCGCGTCGTCGCGAAACGCCCACGCGCCCTGTGGGTGAAGCGATCGGTCAGTCGAACGTCTTACCGGTCAAACGTTGAAAGGGAAGCGCGGGTGAAGAGTGGCGCCGGGAAAAGTCCTTAAGGAACGGCGTGCACCACGCGAACGGGGTCGTATGGGAAGCAGTCTCACCGCGTCTTCAAACTCGCCGCCGCCGCCGCCGCCGCGTCCACTACCGGAAATCAGCGGGAACAGCAGCGGCGTCCCCGGCGGCGATCGCGGGATCGCGAGATTCACCCCGACCGGCCGCAACGCGCGCATCGATGGACCGGCTAACACGTCCACGAACGCGGGGACGAGGTGCTCCGCGGTCGCGGGCGGGGACGTGAACAGCGCGTGCGTCGGCGTCGAAGCCGCCTCGTCGAGCTTCAGCGCGAGCGTCGCGGTCGCGACGCCTCCGGGGCAGACCCACAGAGGCGTGGACGCGAACGCCGCGGACGCGCCGACGAGCGCGTTGACCGGCGCGACCGGCGCGTCGCCCGCGTGCGGCGGCGCGCGCGTCACGACCGCGCGCGGCGGGCGCGAGCGCACGGTCGCGCTCGCGCCGCCGCCGACGCGCGACGGGAAATGCCGCGCGAGATTTAATCCCAGCAGCATCTCGAACTGCGCGTGTCGCGTCGCGTCTTGCGTCATGTTCAAGAACCGTCTCTGCGCGGATATGGACAAGTTGCTCAGCGACGCCATGGACGATCCGGAGCGTTCGCCCTTGTTCTTCCCAGAGGTGGACGACCCGTCGAGGAGGTGGAAGATCGCGGTGTGGATCGCGCGAGACGCGGTGTACACGCCCGCGTGGAGATCGCCGTTGGCGAGGAAAATGTCGCACATCGCCGCGAGCGTCGTCGGCGGCATCCGCGCGCGCAGCTCGTCCACGTCCGCGCGCAGAAGCGTCCACGCGTCTTCGTCGGCGGCGGCGCGGTCGCCGCGCCCGCTCGAAGACGCCGCGCCGTCGGACTCGCCCTCGGCGCCCGGCTGCGCGGGGGAGTTTGACCGCGGCGAGCCGTCCGCCGCCGTCGCCTCCTCCGGTTCCGGAAATTTCCAGCTCGTCGTCTTCGTGTTGTGATCGATGTAAAACGTCCGCCCGGTGACCGTGTCCAATCGGCTCTCCCACCCGGGCGGCAGCGGCGGCGGCGCCTCGCGCGCCCGCGCCGCCGCCGCGCCGAACCCGCCGATGTCTAACCCGACGACCCTGCACTGCTCGATCAGCGCCTGAATCGCGGCGAAATACGACGCGAGATTCGTGCGATCGAGCGAATCCGCGCAGTTGTACCGCAGCATGCCGAGCTGCCACCTGTCCACTCGCGATTCGCTGCCGCTGCCACGTCGTCCATCGCCGCCGCCGCCGTCGCCGTCGCCGCGACCGCACACCCCGTGCGATACCCCCGCGTCGACCATGTACGACCGCAGACAGCTCCACAGGCCCTCCACGGTTTTCTGCTCCCCGAGCGCCTTCATGTTTCCGTGCCAGTCGAAATTCACGACGGCGAGCGCTGCGGAGCTCGGCGTCGGCGGCGACGCGCGCGAGTCCGGGTTCGTGCCCTTGCGCACGCCGCGCACGGCCTCGTGGAAGTGCTCGGACAACACCATCTCCGGTTTCCCAGGCGCGCACCGCAGCAAGTTGACGCACGTCACCGGAAACGGCGGCGACGCCGGTTCAGCCGCGCCGCCGCCGCCGTCGCCGCCGACGGCGGACGCCGGCGGCCGCGACGTCTCCACCAGTTTTCGAAAGTACGTCGCCGTGCCCGCGTACGGATCGTCCGCCGCGACCGTGATCTCCGCGTCGCCGATGGACTGCTTGATCTCCTGCCCCCATCGTATCGGCACGGAACCGCGGCGCCAGACGTACGCGCTCCAGCGAGCGCGCGCGGTTTTTTTCGGCGTTTGGTTTTGGTTTGTTTCGCCGCCGATGACGCCGCCGCCCGCGCTCGCGCTCGCGTCGTTTCCCTTCGTCTCGGGCCCCCCTTTCTCCTCCTCCTCCTCCTCTTCTTCCCGCCACGCGATCTGCTCCATCTCGACCTCGTTCCCCGGCGCGGCGTCCGCGTTCAACCCGCGCGCGATGTACCGCGTGCCCGGGTGCGCGCGCGACCGGCGGCCGAACACGGCGACGCGCCACGGCGCGCCGACGGCGTCGATGAGCGCTCGCGACTCCGCGAGGCCTTGCAACAACGCCGGGCACGCGCGCGGGATGCACAAGTCGTTCAGCGGCTTCGCGAGCCACGCGTTCCAGACCCACTCCGGGTCTGGCGGCGGCGGCTCTTTTGTCGGCGTAACCGACGTCGACGCGGCGTTACGACACGCGTGCGCGAACGCGCGCGTCGCGTCGAAGGTTTCGCAGTAGTAGTACAGGTTGTCCATCGTCGCCTCGGTCATCGACGCGACGTTCGCGCGCTCCTCCCTCGTGGACGCGCGCGCCGGGTTCCTCAGCGCCGCCCTGTGCCACCGCGCCTCCTGCACGGACATCACCTCGTGCCCGTTCGGCAGCGTCGCCGCGACTTTCGTCTTGCGCGCGAGGAGGAGGAGGACCGCGTCCCCGACGGCGACGACGCCGAGGCACGCGTCCGCGCGCGTCGTCGTCTTGCACAGCCCGCGCGACGTCAGCGCGCGCGTCGCGTCGGGTTCGGACGCGAACACGTCGACGTCGCGCGCGCGCGCGTGCTCGAGCGCGCCCGTCGTCGCGCACACCCTGGCGATACGTCGAGGGGAGGGGCGGGGGAGGGGAGGGGGTTCAGATGCGCGGCGCGGGCGACGCGCATTCGCCGTTTTTCGCGCGCGGCGCGGCGCTTCCGGAGGGCGCGCGGAGGAGCCGATCGATCGATTCGTCGATCTCCCTCCCGCGGCGGGGCGAGGACGCGCCTGACGACGTGCGTGGCATCGCTCAGCGGCGGGGAGAGGACGAGGTGGAGCTCGCCCGCGTCGCTCTCGACGACGACGACGCTGCCGCGGCGCCGCATCGCGGCTGGACGCGGCGCGCGCGCGGCTCGGTCTGTCTCTCGGTCGGGGACGACGCGACGACGGCGGTGATGAGACGACGCGACGAGTATTCTGTTCGTACGTCTGTTTTTTTGAAAGTCCGAGAAATCGCGCGGAGACAGCCAGAACGACGCGTCCGCGGGGGCGCGACCGCGGGGCGCGAGAGGCGAGCGACGGACGCCGCGATGCTGCACTCGACGAGCGCGTCACCGTCGCGGCACATGTCCGGCCTCAGCATCGAGGAGGACGCGGGAGAGGCGATCGAGGCGACGACGGGAGTCCTCGGTGGGTGCCGGTTCGTCGCGCACGGCGCGGTCGTCCTCGACGACGAAATCTCCGCGCGCGGCGACGACGACGACGACGCGGCGGCGACGACGACGACGACGGCGGCGGCGGACGACGTCCCGGGGAGGGACGACGCGTCCGCGGGGCTTCTGCTGGGACGCATGCGGAGCAGAAACTACGACGATTTCGACGACGACGACGCCTTGGACGACGACGACCTCCTGTCGAGGCTTCCGCCGGGGATGGACCCGCGGCGCGATCGCGCGCGAATCCGCCCGGCCGCGAGACCGCGGTGCCTGCTCTTCCCGGGCGTGACGCGAGACGCGATAGACCACGACGAGGAGGTGTACGCACGCGGGAACCACGTCGTGTGGTCCTCCGGCGGCGTCGTCCGCGTGCGCTTCACGACCCCGGAGCCGGTCTCGCAGGTGGCGTGGTGCGCGTTCCCTCGGATCGTGCGAATAACGTACGACCCCTCCGATCCCTCCGATCCCTCCGACGTCGGCTTCCTCGCGTCCGCCGACGACGAGCCGACGCTGTGCTTGCGCCACGGCCGAACCGCGATGACGACGTACGCGCCGTCGGGGGCGACGCAGACGATGCCGCTGCCGAGGGACGCGCGCGGCGATCTCGCGCCGACGGCGCTCGGCGCGTTGCTTCGCACGTCGAGGGGCGTCGCGGCGATTCGGCACGCGTTGGACGAGCCGTCGCTCGTGTTCGCGGCGGACCCTGCGGATGTCTTCGCGCGGACGGAGACGATCGCGTGGAGCTCCGTGGACTCGGTGTTGCTCCTGACGCACGACGCGGGGAGGGCGTCGCACGCGTTGTGGCGGCTGTCGCCGGCGGCGGAAAGACGCGAGGGCGAAGGTGAGCGCGGGGAGAAGCGCGAGAGCGCGGGGACGACGGGCGCGCGCGACGGCGACGGCGACGACGACGACGACGCGTGGAATTTCCTCTCGACCGAGCCGTCGACCCGCGCGGGGCGACCGTTCGGGGAATACTTCTCCACCACCGCGGGGTTGAAGAGCGGCGGCGTGTTGCTCGACGTGGACGTGGACGACGACGGGGAGGAAGGCGACGGCGAGGAAGGCGACGGCGACGGGTCCCCGAATTCCGTGCTCGGGGGTTCGCGATCGCGCGCGCGCGCGTACTCGCAAGCGGAGCACCCGCGCGTCGCCGCGACGCGCGTGTGGACGGAACCTCCCGGTCGGTCGCCATCGCCCGCGTCGCACGCGGCGCTGACGCACGCGGACGACGCGCGCGGCACCCCCGCGCTCGCCGCGCTTCTCGCGGACGGCGCGCTCGTCGGATGGAGCCTCCGACGCGCGGGCGCGGGCGCGGGCGCGGGGGGCGACGCCGCGCCGCGCGTCGTCTTCGCGATCGACGACGTCGTCTCTTTCGCGGCGGCGGCGGCGACGCGCGCGCCGCTGCTCGACGTGCTCGTCAAGCGCGCCGACCCCGGGCGCGACGCGCTCGGGTTGTTCGCGGGGGCGAGGTGCGTGATGTCGTGGGACGCGTCGGCGACGCTGTGGCGCGACGCCGCCGCGGGGGTCGTCCGCGTCGGCGACGTCGTTCGCGTGCACTCGCCGGTGGGGAACCGCGTCACGGCGGAGACGACCGCGGCGAGAGGGGGGATCGCGGTGAGGCTGTCGATTCCGACGGGGTTCGCCTCGCCCGCGGCGCGGGCGGTGATGGACGCGGCGGGGAAGGACGTGATGCGAGCGTTGGACGCGGGCGCCGGCGAGGCGAGCGCGAGCGCGACGGCCGCCGTCGTCGCCGCCGCCGCGTCGGCGGCGGCGTCCGGTTCCGGGTTCGGGTCCGGCGACGCCGCGGAGTGGAACGCCGTGCGCGACGCGCTGTTGCGACTGTGCTCGATCGATACCACCGCCGCGGAAGAAGACGGATACGGGAACGATATCGGCGGCGGTCGCGACGCCGACGCGGACGACGCCGCGTGGAACGAGCTTCTCGCCGACGGCGACCGCGTCGCGGCGGCGGCGACGGCGAGGAAATACCGCGCGCTCGCGTCGTCGCTCCCGCCGCCGGCCGCGTCGCCTCCGACGCGCGCGGCGGCGTTCGCGGCGCGCGCGTCTATGCCGCCACCGCGCGACGCGACGATGGCGCTTCTCGAGTCCTCGCACGCGGCGTACGAGGCGTGTAAACTCGACGCGTTGAAGCGCCCGGCGACGGCGCGCGTCGGCGAGTTGTGCGCGGCTCTCGCCGGCGCGATCGCGCGCGACGCTCGGTCTGGCGGATCGTCGTCGTCCGTCGCGGGCGCGATCGCGATCGCGCATCTGGATCACTACGCGCGCGACGGCGGCGCGAACGGCGGCGCGGCGAGGACGCTCGCCGCGATGGGACGGGAACGACCTGGCGTCGCGTCGTCACCGGCGCCGCCGCCGACGCCGACGCCGGATCTCGTTCAAGCGTTGGAGATGATCTTCGAAGGCGTCGACGAGTCCGCGTGGATCGCGCGCGTGCCTCCGCTGATCGCCGCGCGGTTGACGGGCGACGGCGAAGAAGGCGGCGACGCGATCGCCTGGGCCGCGGACGTCGTGTCGTTCGCGTCCGCGGCGGCGGCGTCCGCCGCCGCCGCGAGCGCGGGCGACGACGCGGAGGCGGCGGAGGCGGCGACGGCGATGACCGCGGCGATGACGACGTCCGGGTTTGGCCTCGCGGAGCTGTCGCGGCTCCCTCACGGCGTGAGCGTGCCTCTGAGGGACGCGCTGCAGCGGTGCCGTCGGTCGCCGCCGGGAGGGTGGCCCGCGGCGGCGTACGCGCTCGTGGGAAGGGACGACCTCGCGCTGAAGGCGGCGTTCGAATCTTCTTCGAGTCCCGCGCCGTCGCATTCGGTCGCGGGAAACCTCTCGACCGCGGCGTCGCACGACCTTCGAGCGCGCGGCGTTTTCCTCCCTGGCGTCGGCGCGGGCGGCGGCGACGGCGTCGGCGCGGACGACGACGAGCACGGCGGCGGTGGCGGCGGCGACGGCGACGGCGGGCACGACCTGGACGACGGCGACGGCGACGGCGGCGCGGAGAAATCATTTAACGCGACGGACGGCGGCAGCGGCGGCGGCGACGGCGACGAGTTGGAACCGGACGGGATGTCGCACCTCGAATCGTACGTCGGTCCGCTGTTGTTCGGTCGCGACCGGCGCTTGCGCGAAGTCCGCGCGCTCCTGTCCAGCGCGAGGCCGACGCCGATCCTTCTCGGCGGCCTCGAAGGCGGCGGCGGCGGCGCGGACGGCGGCGGCGGCGAGGGCGGCGACGCGGAAGCCGTCAGCGCGCAACAAGCCAGGCTGTGGTCGCTCGCGCCGCGGACGTCCGCGCTCGCGATCGGCCGCGGCGCGTTCACCCTCGGCACCGCGCGCGCGCGACCGACGGAGGCGCTGAAGATCCCGACGCTGACGCTCGCGGGATGCCTCCCCGCGCATCGAAACGCCGTCGTGAAGCTCGACCTCGCTGCCGTCGGCGAGGGCGCGGCATTCACGCTCTGGCCAGAGTTCCACAACGGCGCCGCCGCGGGTTTCGCGCTCGCGGCGAGGACGAAAGGCGAGCTCACGCGCGCGTGGATCGTGTTCAACCGCCCCCGGGAGCCGTCGCACGCGCACGCGGGGGTGTTGATGGCGCTAGGTCTCACCGGCCACTTGCGCGCTCTGACCAACACGGACATGTATCGATACCTCGTCCAGGAGCACGAAGCGACGACTGTGGGCGTGCTCATCGGCACCGCGGCCGCGCACAGAGGAACGATGAACCCGGAGACGAGCAAGATGTGTTTTCTGCATCTCCCGACGCGGCACCCCGGGTCGTTCCCGGAGGTGGAGCTGTCCACGCAGGTGCAGAGCGCGGCGTTGTTGTCCGTGGGGTTGGTGTACGAGGGCAGCGCGCATCGTCTCATGAGCGAGATTTTGCTCGCGGAGATTGGCAAGGAGCCGGGCGGGGACTCGTCGCCGCAGGGCAGGGAAGGGTACGCCCTCTCCGCGGGGCTCGCGCTGGGTTTGGTGACGCTCGGGAGGGGAAGAGACGCGATCGGTCTCGTGGATCTGCGGATACCGGAACGGCTGCGGCGGTACCTCGGCGGCGGCGGCGGCGAGTTCGACCGCCGCCCGAGAGAGTCCTCGTTCCGCGCGGACGAGTTCGCCGCGAAGGACGCGCGCGCGCGGGACGACGCGAACGGCAACGGCGGCGGGCAAGTCATGGAGAACGCGCTCGTAAACTTGGACGTCACCGCGCCCGCGGCGACGCTCGCCCTCGGGTTGATGTTTCTGAAAACCAACGACGCCGCCGCCGCCGCGCACGTCGCGGTGCCGAGCACGCACTACGCGCTCGACCACGCGCGGCCGGATTTCGTCCTCCTCCGCGTCGTCGCCAAGTCGTTGATCATGTGGGACAGCATCGACCCGCACGAGGCCTGGGTCGAGGCGCAGCTGCCGGAGATATTGCGGCTGAAGAAGACGTCGTCCCGCGCGTCTCCCGACGCGTTCGAGTTCCAAGGCGAGGACGACGACGGCGGCCACGGTGGTCCGACCGGCGCGGCGGTGGACAGAGAAGCGCTCGCGCAGGCGCACGTGCACGCGCTCGCGGGCGCGTGCATGGCGTTGGGGTTGCGGTTCGCGGGCACCGCGGACGCCGTCGCGGCGAACACGCTGACGACGTACGCGTTGACGTTTTTGAGGTGCGTTCTATCTCACACTGGTCCCCATACGACCCCGTCGGCGTGGTGAACGCCGATCCTTAAGGACTTTGCCCGGCGCATCTCTCCGCCCAGGGTTCCTCGCTTTCAATACCCGCCCTCGACGTCTTTCAACTCCGCTTCTGACGCCTTTCAACTCCACCCCGACGTCGCTTCGTATGGAACGACCCTCAGAATGAAATCCACGGCGGCGGCGGGCGGATTTCCCGGGAAGCTCGTGGACCGGCCGACGCTGGAGACGTGCGTCGGCGTCGCCGCGATCGCGCTGTCGCTCGTCATGGCCGGCACCGGCGACCTCGCGGCGCTGCGGTTGCTGCGACGGCTACGTTTGAGGCTCGACGTCGCGGGCGTCGCGGGGGCGGCGGCGACGGCGGCGACGGCGGCGGCGGCAGCGACGACGGGCGCGGGCGGCGCCGCGGGTCTCTCCCACGGCGCGCACGTCGCGATATCCATGGCGCTCGGATTTTTGTTCCTGGGCGGCGGCACGAAGACGTTCGCGACGGACGACGCGTCCATCGCGGCGCTGCTCATCTCGATCTACCCGCGGTTCCCGCAGAACACGAACGACCAGCGGTGTCACCTTCAGGCGTTTCGTCATCTCTACGCGCTCGCCGCGCGCTCGCGGCTCCTCGAGACTGTCGACGCGGCGACGCGAAAGCCGGTGTACGCGCCCGTGGAGATGACGTTCCGGTCCGCGCGCGCGGGCGGCGCGATCGAGACGAGACGCGTCACCGCGCCGTGTTTGTTGCCGGAGGAGGGGCGTCTGATCTCGCTGAACGTCGTCGGCGATCGTTACTGGCCCGTGCGCGTCGACGTCGAGACGGGAGGGGCGACGGTTGATGTTCCGTCTTCCAGCGCCGGCGCCAGGACGGTCGACGCCGCGGCGGTCGAGCTCTTATACCGCAGGCGGCAGCTCCCCGTGCAGCGGCTGACGGGCGCGCTGCCGTACGCCGCGGACCCCACGGGCGCGCGCGCGGGTCTCGCCAAGGCGTTGCGCACGGCGGCGGCGGCGGCGGCGTTGCGGCCCCAAGGATCAGCGTTCACGACGCGAACGGGGTCGCACGGGGACCAGTCTCTTTCTCGGCCGCGCGCGCTGGAAGACGGAACGTCGATCGTCGCCGCGACGACGGCCGAGACGCAGGACGCGGTCGGGCTCTTCACGAGCGACCCGTCGCTCCTGGGGTTCAAGCGCCTCGTCTGCGAGGGCGGCGGCGAGCTCGCGGCGTTCTCCACGGCGGCGTTGCACGAGTGTCTGACGCGCGAGGAGCCCGGCGCGTTGGCGTCGTACGTCCACCTGCGACACGCGACCGCGTCGCTTCTCGCCGCGGCGGAGAACGCGTCGGCGTTTGACGGCGCCGCGGGAGGAGCGGGAAGCAGCTCGGCGGCGCGTGCGTCGTGGATGAGCGAGGGCGAGGCGCTGACGCACGCGATGTGCGTCGCGGACGCGCGTTTACTCGCGGCGTACGCCTCCCGCCGCGGCGCGTCGTCGTCGTCGTCGCGGACGTTGCCGCCGTCGCTGACGGACGGGTTCAACGCCGCGACCGTCGCCGCGCTCGAAGCGCCTCGCTACGGCGCGAAGGACGGCGTCCTGTGCGCGTATCTGAGAGGCGCGTCGTTCGCGGCGCTCCCGGACGCCGCCGGTTTGTTCGGCGCGTATCTCGCTTTTTTCGACGTCCCGACGCCGGCGGAGGTTTCGCGCGCGATGACGCTCGCGGGGGTGCCGTCCGGCGCGGACGAGGGGGACGTGTTGCGGGCGGTGAAGATGGGCGTGCCGGGGGTGCGCGCGGCCGCGGCGTTGCGCGTCGCCAGGTGTGGCGTGTGATCGACGACGCGCGCATCGTACCGTAGCATCATCTCGTCGTCGGACCACAACTCGACAGAATCAGATTCGGTCGCGACCACTGCCAGCTCAGCGCCCGTCGTCGTCTGTCCTCGTCCTCCTCCTCCTCGTCCTCGTCCTCGTCACTCGTCGTCGCGCGACCGTCATGGCGACCACGATGCGCGCGCTCGCGACGCGCGTCGTCGCGCCGCCGTCGTCGTCGAGCGCGTCGTCGCGCCGCCGTCGCGCGGTCGTCGCTCGCCGCGCTCGTCGCGTCGACGCCGCCCCGATCGCGGTCGTCGCGTCTTCCGCAGCTTCCGACGCGCCCGAGGCGGACGCGTCCGTCCCCGAGGTCAGCACGTCGCGCCGCGTCGCGCTGACCGCGGCGGCGTCGTCGCCGTTCCTCCCGTCGCTCGCGTCGTTCCTCGCCGCGTCCGCGGCGTCCGTCGCGACCGCGGCGCCCGCGCTCGCGGCGCCCGCCGCGAGCGCGAAGATCACGTCCAAAGTCTTCTTCGATTTCGCCGTCGACGCCGTCCCCGCGGGAAGGGTCGTCTTCGGCGTGTACGGCGACGGCCCGAACCCGATCTCCGCGGCGCGGTTCCTGACGCTCGCGAGAGGCCTCAACGGGCTCGGGTACAAGCGCACGCAGATCGACGCGATCGAGTACGCGGAAGAGGGCGGCGCGGACGTCCCGTTGTTCGTCGGCGACTGCGGCGTGCGCGCGTTCGTCATCCCGGGAAGCACCACCCCGGTGGAGGGCCTCCCGGGGGGGAATTCCGCGGAGGGCTTGCTCCCGGAGCTGAGCGCGAAGGCGCTGTCGCACGACCGCCGAGGCGTCGTGAGCCTGATCGTCGAGCGCGGGTCGCCGCCGCCGCCGCCCAAGGAGAAGCTGGTGAGCATGAATGGAAAATTCGTCACGGTGACGGACCCGCCGCCGCCGGGGCCGAACGGCACCGCGTTCACGGTCACCGTCGCGAGCGGCGCGGACGAGTTATCGGAGGTGGCGGAGATTCTCGACCGCACGAACGTCGTCGTCGGCGAGGTGGTGGAAGGGATGGAGGTGTGGGACGCGATCGCGGCGTTGCCGACGGTGAAGGATAACTCGTCGTCGCCGTTTTTCGCCGTCGCCAAAACCATCGGGGATAAGGTGCGTTCTATACACTGGTTCCCATACGACCGCGTTGGCGTGGTGAACGCCGATCCTTAAGGACTTTTCCCGGCGTGTCTCTCCGCCCAGCCCCCGCTTTCAATACCCGCCCTCGGCGCCTTTCAACTCCAACTGACGCCTTTCAACTCCACCCCGCCATCGCTTTGTATGGAACGACCCTAAGAGGGCGACCGTCGCGGAGCAGGCGTTCGGGAAGCCGTTCGCGAAGGTGACCGTGTCGAAGAGTGGGGTGGTGGAGGACGCGCCGCCGGTCGAGGCGGCGGTCGGGGTCGAGTCGGCGGAGGTGGCGTCGTCGTGAGCGATCGATCGCGATCGCGGGGGGGAGGCTACATTATTACTTCCGTAAGTTATTAGTCTATTTAAGAAGAAGACGCGCGCCGACGGCGCCTACGACGTCTACTCGCCGTCCGTCCCCCCGTCGCCGTCGCCGTCCTCCCCCCCGCCGCTCCCGTTACCGTTGTTCCCGTCGTCTCTCTCCTCCCGCCGCCCCGGGGCGCGCCCGTCCACCGCCCCGCCGCTCTTCTCCAAGAGCGAGTCCAGGTGCTTGTTCAGGAGGAATCGCGTCGCCTCCTGCACGTACAGGCGGCTGTCGTCCTTCCGGTACTTCCCGCGCTCGAGCTTGTAGTGATACGCCACCTTGTCGACGACGAAGTACCGGTTCCTGAGCTCGATCGTGTCCCCGCAGTGCGTGTTCGCGGGGAACCGGTGCGTCCCCAGCGAGCGCTCCGGCGGCGTCGTCACCTTGACCTCGTACGTCGTCTTCGCCTTCTTCTTCTTCGCGCCGTCGTCGTTCGCGTCCGCCGGCGGGCGCGCGGCGACGACGCGAAGGCGGCGCGGCGCGACGCCGGCGTTCTTCGTCGCGAACGACGACGACGACGCGGTCGCGTGACGCGCGGCGAGCGGCATCGTCGCTCGAGTCTGGTGGTCTTCTCTTTCCGCTGATATTAAGCCCTTCGGGCGACCGTTCCAATCTGTTTCCGTCTGCTCCGCGACGGGACGAACGGGAAGCGCGGACGACGCGGCGCGCGCGCTCGCGCGTGTCGAGGTAGTTCGCGCGCGCGAAGACGCGGTGCGGCGCGCAAAGGCGTACACTCGCGCGCGGCGGTGCGCGACCGAGTGGACGGGCGAACGGCCGGCCACGTCATTAATCTTGAAAATATCGCGAACAGAAAGCCGGACGATTTTGGCGCGAAGCGATTTCGTTCATCAGTTCCTCGATGATAAGTTTACGTGTACGTACGCGTCGTCGTCCTTTCGTCGCGCGCCTCCTCTGCTACCTCCGGTAGTACCCGCCGCGGTCCCTGCTCGACGCGCGGTCTCGTCCACCGTGCCTATCTCTACTCCGATCCCTGCCCCTATCCCTGCTCCGACTCCTCGGTCGATCCCCGCGGTGGCCCCGCCCGCCGAAACCCCGCTCTCGGTCGCGCCCGGGAAACGCGACCACCGGCGGTTCCCGCCCACCGCCGCCGCCGGCGCCCTTCAGCGCCCCGGACTGCACCGACGCGAGGAGCGCCTGCAACGCGTTGGCGTCGAACCCGCCGCCGCCGCCGCCGCCGCCGCCCTTCTCCTTCTCCTTCTCCTTCTTATCCTCCTCCTCGCGCTCGACGATCGCGCGCGCTCTCGCCGCCGCGTCCGTCGCGCTCCCGCTCCATATCAACGTCGTGGTCAACGCGTACACCGCGGCTTCGCTGTCGAGGAGCGCGTCCGTCGCGGCGGCGGCGACGGACAGCGTCCCCAACGCGCAGGCGGCGGCGTGGTCCATGCCGCCGCCGTTCGCGACCGTGGACGCCGCGACGGCCGCGCACGCGGCGATGAGCCTCGACGTGATGCGGTCTAAGCGTCGGGTCGCGCCCCCGCGGTTCCGCGCGCCGGCGACGTCGACGTCCCAGTCGGAGCGACGGCGCCGGCGGTCGCCGCGGTCGTCGCGGTCGTCGCGGTCGTCGTCGTCGTTCTCCGACGGAGGGTCTGGGACGACGCCCGCGGCGCCCGCGGCGGCCATCACGACGTCCGACAGCGCCGTCGTCGCGCCCTCGACGCTCATCGCCGCCGCGTGCGCGGACTTGATCGCGCCCTGGCGATCGCGCAGCGAACGTCGGGGTGGATTTCAAAGAAAGGCGTCAGTTGGAGTTGAAAGGCAACGCGGGCGGGTATTGAAAGCGAGGGACCCTGGGCGGAGAGAGACGCCGGCATAAGTCCTTTAGGAACAGCGTTCACCACGCCGACGGGGTCGTATGGGGACCAGTGTATAGAACGCACCTGGCGATCGTGCAGCGCGTGGTGCGACGCGCGGTCCGCCACCGCGGCGGCGACGTCGGCGGCGCCGCCGAGCGCCGCCGCCGCCGCCGCGGTGGGGGCCCTCGCGCGCGCGACGAGCGCGCACGGCGCGCGCGTCGTCGCCGCCGTCGCCGCGGCGATCGTCTCGCGCAGGTACGGCGTGTCCACGAGCGGCGGCGCGGGGGGCGGCGCGCCGTCGTCCAGCCGGGACCCGTCAGTCGGGGCGCCCGGCGGCGGCGGCGGCGGCGGCGGCGCGCCGACGTCGGACCCGGCAGGAATCGCCGCGGCGGTCGCCACGACGGCGGCGGCGGCCGCGGACTTCACCTTCTTCCCGCCGCGCGGGCCGCGCACCTTCTTCTCCTTCTCCTTCCCCTCTTCGCCGTCGGCGACGGACGTCGTCGACTTGGACTCCCTCATGGACGCCTCGAACGCTCGCCGCGCCTCCGCTTGCACGCGCGCGCGCTTCTCCGCGTCCTCGCGTCGTCGCGCCGCGCGCGCCTCCGCGACGTCCCTGGCCTTTCTCGTCGCGAGCTCCGCGGCGGCCAAAACGCGCCTCGCCTTCGCCGTCGCGTCCTCCGCGTCGACGTCCTCCGCGTCGATCGCGCTCACGACGCTCGCGTCCGCGCCGTGCCCTCGGTCGCCGCCCGCGGACTCGTGCGGCGCGGGCGCGGCGCCGCCCGGGAGCATCACGACGCCGCTCGCGTGCGCCCACCGGAGCCAGGTCCCCCACACCTTTCGCTCCGTTCGCAGCGTCTCCGGGGCGCCGATGACGACGAGCCCGCGCTTCGCGCGCGTCAGCATGACGTTCACGCGGCGCGGGTCCGCGAGGAACCCGACGCCGCGGGCGCCGCCCTCGCTGCTTCGAGTCGCGGTGAACACGACGGCTTCTTTCTCTCGCCCTTGGAACCCGTCCACGGAGGAAATCTCGAGCTCGTTGCCGAGGCCAAGAACGGCGTTCCGCGCGTTTCTGAGCGCGCGCACTTGCGCAGAGTACGGCGCGATGACGCCGATCTGCGACGCGGTCAGCTCCCCGCCCGCGAGGAGCGACGCGACGACGGTCATCGCGGCGGAAACCTCGAGCTCGTTTTGCCACGACTGCGCGACGGCGACTTCCCTGCCGTCGGGAACCGGGACGAACGCGACGGGCGACGGCGACGGCAGCGACGGCCACGGGAACCCGCACGGCGGAACTCTCGCCGCCGATCGCGTCCCGCTGCGCAACTTGCCGCCGTAGAAGTGCGCGCACGGAAACGCCGCGAGCGCGGGGTGCATTCGAAACTGCGTGTCGAGCATCACCGGCGCGACGCCCTTCGACTGCAGACGATCGAACAGGCTCTCCTTCATCCCTCGCGCCTCCGCGTCTCTCGACAACACCGTCGGCGGGAGCTGCTTGTGGTCGCCCACGAGCGCGACCGCGCGCGCGCCGCGCGTCAGCGCCACGAGCGACGCCACCTCGGTCTGCTGCGACGCCTCGTCTGAGCGTAAACGTCCATACGAGCGAAGAATGTCGGGGTGGAGTTCAAAGGCGTCAGAAGCGGAGTTGAAAGGCAATGCGGGCGGGTATTGAAAGCGAGAGACCCTGGGCGGAGAGACACGCCGGCAAAAGTCCTTAAGAATCGGCATTCACCACGCCGACGGGGTCGTATGGGGACCAGTGTGAATACGAACGCGCCTAACAACACCGCGCCGAATCGCGTGTTCTCCAACAAATCCCCCCCCGCGGCGGAGCACGTGCAGCACACCGCCCGCGCGCTCCGAACCTGCCCCTCGTGCTTCGCGACGTGCGGCGCGAGCTCCCCGCGGATCGCCTCCGGCCTCCCGATCCGAATCGCGGGCACGCCCGCGGCGAGGAGGCCGTCCAATACGTTGTCCACCGCGACGTTGCTCTCGGAGCAGCACAACACCGGACCCAGCCCGTGCGCGAGCCACGCTTTGGTCAACGCCACGGCGGTGTACGTCTTCCCCGTCCCGGGCGGGCCCTGCACGAGCGTGAAGCGCTGCGCGAGCCCGAGCGCGACGGCGGCGCGCTGCGACCCATTCAACGTCCGCAGCGTCCCGTTCGAGTCGCGGGGGTCGTCGCGTCGGTCGTCGTCGCGCGTCTGCGTCTGCGGCTTTTTTTTTTCATCCGCGAGGGCGGCTTCCTCCTCGAGCGCCTCCAACGCCGCGAGCGGCGACGCGTACGGCGTCACCCCCGACGGCGGCGCGGACGCGAACGCGATCGCCTCGTCCGCCTGGACGTCGTCGAGGTTGTTGCCGCCGCCCTGACCCCCCCCCCACCCGGCCAACACGACCGCCCGCACGCCCGCGTCGACGCGCGCGCCCTTCTCCTTTCGCCCGCGCATGGCGTCCTCCCCGGTCGCCATCAACTTCCGCAGCTCCGCGCTGAACCCCGCCATCTGCGCCGCGGGCGCGGCGACCGCGTCGACGCCGCCGATCGGCGGCTCCACGAGCGCGGCGATCGCGCGCACACGCCGCGCGTACACGTTGCGGTACGCGAGGCGGTCGAGGCGCCACGCGCGGAGGCCGACGGTTTGCTTCGCCGCGCGCGCGAGCTCGTCGCGGTCGCGCGTCCGCCGCGCGCGGCATCGCACCGTCAGCCGCGGCGCGACGGACAGGACGTCTACCTCGCACTCGACGCAGGTGCCGTTCGGGAAGTCGACGGAGAGCATCGCGTCGTCGCCCTTCGCGAGGCCGTCGGCGAAGGATTCGCTCTTCTCGAGCGGCGAGCGGCCGCGTCGATCCGCGAGCGCGATGATCATCGCGACGCGCGCGGCGTCGTCGCGTGTTCCGCCGCGACGCGCGTCGCCCGCCTCCGCGCGATCGAGTGCGTCGTCCAGGATCTCCATCGCGCGGTTGTTCGCCGCGGCGTTCGGGTTGTTGTCCGGCCGGACCGCGGTCACGTCCACGACGTCGAGCCCGACGACGGCGTTGCCGCCGTCCTCGATCCCTTCGCGCGCGCCGCCGCCGCCGCCGCGGCGACGAAGTCCGCGGCCGCGCTCGCGCGCGACGTCAGCCTCCGCGAGGAACTCCAGCGCCGCGAGCTCGCTCCAGCGCGTCGCGTACGCGATCGCCGCGCGCGCGTCCCTCGCGGTGGGCTCGTCCGCGTCCCTCGTCGCGGCGTCGTCCAGGCGCGATCGCATGCGCGCGAGCGCGCGCGGGAGTTCGTCCGCGGCGCGCGTCGACTGCGGGAGCCTCGACAGCGCGTCGAGGTACTCCCTCAGCGTGATCTTCTCCGCCATGGCGTCGTGTCGCGGCGGCGACGCGCGCGACCCCGAGGCCTGCCGCCGTCGTCGCGCCCTGCGCTCTGTCGCGCGCGCGACGGCGTGCCCATCTGATCGTCTCGAACGTCAGCTCGTTTTTCCCCGACAAATCGCCCCGCTGTCTTTTCAAAACGCCGCCGCGCGCCCCGCCGCAGCACGTCCCGCCCCGCCCGTCATGGCGCGGGCGGGCGGACGTCGCGCGCCGTCACGGGACGACGCCGCGCGCGGACGCGGACGCGGCTCGGCCGCGGACGTCGTCGTCGACGACGACGACGCGCGCGAATCCATGGAGGTCGGTCTCCTCGGACGGTACGACGACCGCGGCAGCGCGAGATCCGACGCGCTCGACGACGACGACGACGCGTCGCCTTATCCGCCGCCGCCGTCGCGCGCCCCGCGAAGCGCGCTGTTCACCGCATCGCTGAGCCTCACGATGACCGCGGTCGGGAGCACGATGCTCTCGCTCCCGGCCGCGTTCGCGCAGTGCGGGTGGGCGCTCGGACTCGCCGTCCTCCTCCTCTTCGCGACGCTCGTGGACGTCAGGTGCGTTCTATACACTGGTTCCCATACGACCGCGTCGGCGTGGTGAACGCCGATCCTTAAGGACTTTTGCCGGCGATTCTCTCCGCCCAGGGTCCCTCGCTCACAATCCCCGCCTTCGACGCCTTTCAACTCCGCTTCTGACGCCTTTGAACTCCACCCCGACGTTCGCTCGTACGGAACGACCCTCAGCGTGCTGTTCCTCGTCGGCGCGGCGCGAAGCGCGCGCGCGGACTCGTACGAGGAGACGTGCGCGCGACTCCTCGGCCCAAACGGGGAGAAGCTCTGCCGCGGCGCGCTGTGCGTGTTGATCTACGGCTCGCTGGTGTCGTCGCAGATCATCGTCGCGGACCTCGCGTCGCCGTCGATAAGCGCGTGGATCGCCGGCTTCGGGGACGCGAAGATCGCGTCGTCGCTCGAGTGGCTCGGCGACCGGCGATGCATCGCCGCGGCGACGCTCGCGGCGGTGTACCCGCTCGTGCTCGCGAGGTCGCTGAGCTCGCTTCGGTCCGCGACGAGCGCGGCGTTTCTCGTGATCGTCGCGGTCGTGGTCGCCGTCGCCGTCGCGTTCGCGACGTCGGACGACGCCGTCGACGCGAGCGTCGTCGCGTCCACCGTCGCGACGCGTCCGGGGGCGATCGCGCTCGCGCTGCCCGTGATGGCGCTCGGGTTCACGTGCCACTTTAACGTCGTCGACATCGACAAGGAGTTTAGCGCGGCGGCGGCCGGAGGCGCTGGCGGCGGCGGCGGCGGCGGCGCGGCGCGGACGAATCGCGATGTCCACGCCGTCGTCCACGTCTCGCTGCTTCTCGTCGCGTTTCCGATCTACGCGCTCTTCGCGTGCGCGGGGTACTTTCAGTACGGCGCGTCGGTGAGCGACGACTTCTTGACGGAGTGGGCCGCCGCCGGCGCGCGGGCGACGACGGTCGCGCAGGTCGCGGTCGCGGGGGTGAACGTGTTGAAGTACCCTCTGTTCGCGTTCGGTCTGAGACGGAACGTCGAGGCGGCGGTGGACGCGGCGTACGGGGGGTGGCGCGCGACTTGGCGGCGGCGGCGAGCGAAGGGTCGGGCGCGTCGGCGGGCGAACGTCGAAGACGACGAGACCGGCTCGATGTTACCCGACGACGAGGAGGAGGAGGAGGAGGAGGAAGAGGACGCGGCCGCCGCCGCGCCCGCGTGGGCGCATCACGTCGCGCTCTTCCTGACGCATCTCTCCGCGGCGGTCGTCGCGATCGTCTGTCGCGAGCTCGAGGTCGCGTTGGACGTCGTCGGAGCGACGTGCGGCACGCTCGTGACGTTCATCCTCCCCGGGGTGTTGTTCCTTCGCGCGTTCGACCCCGCGATGCGATTCCCCGGCGGTCCCGGCGGCGACGGCCTCGCGTGGGCGGCGAGAGAGGCGAAGGACGACGACGCGTCCGGGGTCGTTCGCGCGAGGGCGAGCGCGGCGGCGACGGCGGCGGCGTACGTCCTCGTCGGCGTCGGCGTCGCGGCGTCCGTGTGCGGCGTCGTCGCCGTCGTCTACGAGCTCGCGTGAACCACCGCAAGCCGCGGAGAGCGGAGCGCGCGCGTTTCGCACGGCGCGACGTCGTCATCGTGTAAAGAATGTAAAACGACGCGAGTGTACAACGGCACTCGTACTTTGTATCTCCTCCGCGCGGTTCGGTTCGGTTCGGTTCGGTTCGGTTCGGTTCGGTTCGCGCGTCGACGCTCGACGCTCGACGCTCGACGCTCGACGCTCGACGCTCGACGCTCGACGCTCAAGCCGCCGCCGCCGCCGCTTTCTTCGTCGTCGCTTTCTTTCCGACCATGGCTTCCTTCGCGGTCGTCTTTCGCCTCTTCGCGACGTCTCGCGCCCTGACCGCGAGCTTCTCCGGCTTCTTCTTCGCGGATACGCGCGCGGGCGACGGCGCGTTTCTCGACGACCGCGTCGGCTTCGCGCGGAGGTCGCGCTTCGACGGCGGCGGCTTCGTCGCCGCGCGTCTCGACGAGGCCGCTTTCGCGGCGGCGTCCACGAAAACGTGCGGGGACGCGACCGGCGACGGCGTCACCGGCGCGCGCGTCAGCGCGCGCGACGTCGGGATCTCGCCCTCGCCGCGAGGCGCGAACGGCGACGGAAGATTGGGGTTGAACATCGCGTCGTGCCGGGGCGAGTTGGACGTGTCGCGGCGCGGCGGGGGAGCGCGCGCGTCGGTGTCGTCCCCGTCGTGGCTTCTCGTCCGCGTGACAACTCTTGGATACGACGACCGACCTCCACGACTGCCCCATAACCTTTTTTTCTTAAGGTCACGTTATCGCCACGCGTTCGCCGACCCGAGACAGAGCCGCGCGCGCGTCATGTCGACGATCGCGTGCATCAGCGCGCGCTGCGCCGGCGCGGTGGGCCCGTCTCGTGCTGCGGCGTCGACGCCCTCTCCGCGCGTCGTCGCGGCGGCGCGCCCGACGCGCCGACGGAGCGTCCCGCGGGCGGGCTCGAAGGGCGATTCTTTCCTCCTCCGCGACGAAACGACGTCGACGTCGACGCGTCTAAAGGAAGACGCGGAGGAGGAGGGAGGCGAACCCGGGTGGCGGCGAAGAGCGTTCGGCGCGTTCGCCGCGGCGATCGTCGCGTCGACCGCGCCGTCGCTCGTCGGCGACGCCGCCCCCGCGCTCGCGTCGATCCCCGCGGACATCACCCTCGCGAAAGAAAAAGCCGCGCGCGTGGAGAGAGAAGTCGCGAAGGACGTGCGCGTGCTGCAGAGAGAGATCGCGATCGACAAGGAGATCGCGCGCGACGAGGTCATCAACGAGGCGATCACGTTCGAGCGGTTCATCGAGAACGAGCCCCCGGTTCTCGTCGGGTTCCTCGCGCTGTTCGTCGTGAACGGCTTCATCGGACTGACGTGGGCGCTCTTCTTTCGCGAGACGTCCGCGGGGCCGGGAGGGGAGTTTGGAAAAGGGATCGTCGCGCTCAGGAAGGAGCTCGTGAAGGGGATATTCAAGTTCTTCGGCACGGTCATGGGGTCGTACGTCGAGCGCGACGGAGGAAAGTCGCGGTGAGGGAGGGGTTTAGGGTGTGGCGCGCGAGCGAACGAACGGAACGGCGCGCGCGAAAGGGGCGCGCCTTCGTTCGCGACGACGATGAATGTAAAAGACTGGTAAAAGAACGACGACGATACAGTAAATGATTTGTACACGCGAGAGCGTTCCTCTCGCTTTGTTTCGCTTCGCTCCCTTCACGCCTTCGACGTCCTCCCTCCCGCGGCGGCGAGGGGCGGCCGCGCTTTCCCGCCGCCGGACCTGGACCGCCGCGCCGCGTCGGCGTTCGAGTTCGAGACGCCGCTTCTCGGCCCCGAGTCGCGCTTCTTCGGCTCGGTCGGTTTCTGTTTCTCTGGCCAACGCGCGATCTCGGCGTCGCCCGCGGGCGGCGGCGGGGGTCTGTTCCCGGACGCGCGGCGACTCAGCGGCGGGGTCGCGCCGGTGTCGGTCGGCGGCGGTGGTTTCGGTTTCGTCCGGCGGCGGCGGACTAGGCGGCGTTTCATCTTCTTTCTCGTCCTCCGCGATGAGCGCGGCGGGGGGCGGCGGCGCGAGCGGCGATTCCGATTCAATGCGCGTCGCCGGCGCGTCGTCGTGGATCAGACACAGCATCACGTGCGCGCGCTCCACGGGCTCGATCACGATGTTCACCACGATCGGCGGCGTTTGAGTTTGAGGCGGCGCGGGAACGGCCGCCGGCGACGCGACGGCCTCGAGGGCGAGCGGCGCTTCCTCTTCCTCTTCCTCGGGGACCGCTTCGGGCGCGTCGACGGGCGCCTCGACCTCGAGCTCGACGACGTCCTCGGCGGTCCCCGGGGTCGTGCACCGCCCCTCGAGCGTGTCCTTCTGAAGCGTCGCCGCCGCGACCGCGTCGTTGGCGTCTTTCAGCTTCTTCGCGAGCGTTCGAATTCTCAACGCGAACGCCCTCGCCTCGCGATCCTTGTCGAACAACGCCGCGCGCGTCTTCTCGTGCTCTCTTCGCTCGTCTTCGCGCTCGCGCTCGAGCAGAAGCATCGCGCGGCGGTGCTTCTTCGAGTCCGCCTCTTTCGATTTGCGTTCGATCGTCGCGCGTTTCGAAGCGTCCGTCGCCTTCGCCTCGGCGGCGTCGATGAGCTCGCACGCGGTTCGCGCCTTTCGTAGCTCTCGCAACGCGGTTTCGCGCGTCGCGCCGTTTACAAACTTCGCCAGCGCGCTCTCCAGCGCGATGATCTTGTCCTGCAGCTTGGCGCACAGCACCCTCTGCGCGATCAGCGTCTTCTCGCCGCGATCGCGCTCGTCTCTGTAGCGCTTCAGCCGCGCGCGCATCCCTTTCGCGTCCTCCGCGAGCGCTCGAACGATGGGCGGAAGCTCTGGGCTTCCCCCGAACGCGTTGTCGCTCTCGATCTTCGCGCGGAGCGGGGAGGTCAGCGACCGCGGCGGCGCCGCTTCCTCGCCGTCGCGCTTCGAGACGCCGCCGGATACGCCGCATTCGCCGCCGCCGCCGTCCTTCTTCGAGTACGGCGAGTCCAGCGTCGCTTCGCAGACGGTCGCCATCGCGACGGATCTCGCGGCGGTCGGAGACGCCGATTCGGTTTCCTTATGCGGCGATCGGCGCGACGCCGCGCGCGCGCTCCAGGAGGGCGGCCTCTCCACCGCGGGCGCGACGCCGTTCGCGGTGGACGACGGAAGACGCGAGGGAAGACGCGACGCGAGACGGCGGCGTGCCGTGCGGGGGCGCGCGGTCGTTGTGCGCGCGCGTTTCCTCCCCGGCCGGATATGGGACCGGCCGAGACAGGAGCATCAGGACTCGAAGCGGCGCGGCGTGCTGTCTGGTGTGATTGAGGGCGTTCATCGGTCACAGTTGAAAGGGTAGCGATCAAATATTGAAACCGAGCGATGGGTGAGAAACGTGATTTGAACGCGGTTGAAACAGCAGAGGTTGAAACTGAACGAGGCGGTGCTCGGCCTGTGTCAGAGTCACCAACGGTTATGTGGTCGCGTTTGAACGGGCGGCCGTCAAACATCGGCGCGCGAGCCATCGCCGCCGCATTCGCGCACGCGAGGTCGTCTCGTAGACCGCCCGCGACTCGCGCGCGCGCGTATCGGCGCCGTCGTCGCGCGAACGCGCCGTTCGCCGCGCGCGGGAGTCCCCGTCCGCGAGGGATCGAACAAATCAGCGAAATCAATCGCCCGCCGAGCGCGGCGCCAGATTCGTCCGCCGTCGTCCGCCCCCCTCGCGGCGCGATGGCCGGGCTCGCGGGGCTGGCCTCGCGCGACGCGACGCGCTCGCCCGCGTCCTCCATCGGCGGCGGGTACGGCCTAGACGCGGAGGTGTACTCCCCGCCGTCCGCGGCGGGGAGCCCCGGCGGAGGAGGGTTCGGGCTCGATTCCGAGGTGCGCGCGTCGTCGCCGCCCGAAGGGGGGGGATACGGGCTCTCGTCCGAGGTCAGCGGCGACGCGAACGACGCGAGCGCCGCCGCGCCCGCGTCGCCGCCGCGGGCGGCGGGGACCCACGGCGAAGGCCTCGGCGCGCTCGCGTCCGGCGGCCCGACGCTCGCGTCGTCGCCGCCGCTGTCCCCGAGAGGCGGCGCCGGCGCGAATGCGAATGCGAATGCGAACGACGCGGCGTCGCCGTCCTACCGCGGCGTCTCCTCCCCGTCCAACTTCCGAAAGGAAGCCACGGACGCGCTCGCGGAGAAGCAGAGCAAGCAGCGCTTGGCCGCGGTGTTCGGGTCCCCGAACGGAGAAGCGGACGCGCTCGAGCCCACGAACGCGCGTCAGCTCGAGCTGACGAGGGTCGAGGAGGCGAACGCCGCGACGAAGATTCAAGCCGTCTTTCGCGGCGGCAAGACGCGCGAGGAGATCGCCCTCGCGAAGCGATTCGGCGCGTCTTCCGATCCCGGGCAGAAGGACACGGTGAAGCGATCGCTGATATTGTCCGGGGACGCGCAGGATCGCACGGAGGCTGCATCCGCGGCGGCGGCGAAGAGCGGGTACGGCCTCGGCGCCGACGACTGGGAGCGTTTCGCCGCGCGGCAGCTCTCGCGGTTCGTCGCGCCCGCGCCCGGCGGGTTGACCGCATCGGACGAGACGCGCGGGTACCGCCTGCGCGTGCTCGCCGTGGAGGCGTACCCGTTCGGCGCGGAGGCGTACCGCGTCGCCGGGCGGTCGAACAAGGTTGAGGTTCGCGCGGCTGTATCGTTTTACGACGAGGCGAGCGGCACGTTCCACGGCGCGACGTGCTCGAGCGTCCCCGAGGAGGTGACGCTGCCGCCGCCCGAGGCGGCGAATGGCGCGGGGCGGCCGCAGCCGGCCAAGGGGAAGAACGCGAGAGACAACGCGGGGAAGCCCAAGCTTCCCGTCGCGACGCTGGACGTGCAACACGACGTCTACTTCACGACGAAAATTCGCGACGCGCGGTGTCTTCTCGTCCTGGAGATTGTGCTCGTGGAGAGGCGCGGCGGGACGATCGTCCGCGAGACGAGCGGCGGGTGGGCCGCGATCCCTACCGTGGACAAGAACGGCCGGGAGCCGGTCGGGGAGCCGTCGTCCGCGCCGATCCGCGCCGGGAGCCCGCGGTATCTGATGTGGGGCCGCCCGAGAGCGGGGCAGCATCCGCCCGCGCAGCTCGGCGACGCGCGCGTGCACTTCATATACGAGCCCGCGCCGATGCTCTCGCACGCCAAGGCGCTCATCCCGGACGACTTCCCGGTGACGTACGGCGACGTCATCCCCGGGATGTTGCGATTCGATCCGTTCGGGCAGCTCACGTCGAACGCGCTCGCGATCACGTCGACGCTGGCGGCGCCGGTGCTCGCGCCGACGCGACGCGTCGCGCTCCGAGGTCTCAAAGTGCGGCTCCCGAAGGCGCTGACCGACGTCGTCGCCGCGTCGCCGGCGACGGCGCGCGCGATCCACGGGCCGGACGCGCAGCCGCCGTCGATGGAATCGCTCGCGGCGAATCCCACCGCCGCGGCGGCGGCGGTGGCGGCGTCAAAGTGCGTGTTTATGCGCGCGAGCGTGCACAACGGCCGGCGGTTCGTCGGCGCGTCCGTCGACGTCGACGCGTGGGCCGCGGACGTCGACGGCGTGTCCACGATTCGACTCACGAAGGACGCGGTCGTGCCAAACGTCCCCGAGGACGTCCTCGTCGTGTTGATCCTCGAGGTGATGTACCGCGCCCCGGGGACGAACGACGCGCCGTACGTCCTGGGGTGGACCGCGGTGAGCCCGTTCAAACCCGGCGCTGATTTCGGCGACGCCGTCACCGCGGACGCCCCCGGCGGGTTGGAGCTTCGCGTCGGCGGGCGAGAGGCGACGCTGCGCACGACGCGCGGGCCGAGGAGCGAGCCCGCGGTGGATTGGAGGTCCGTCGTGCAAGCCCCGCACGAGGTGTGGCGCGGCGTCGTGCGCTACCGCGGCGTCGCCGCCGCGGAGGACAACGCGATCGCGATGTCGTTCGAGGCGATCGCCGCGCACGGCGACGCGGGGGATCCGGGGACGCCCGGCAGGGCGAAGGTTTCGAAGATCGCCGGCGGCGGCGGGTCGAGAGCGGGCGCCGGCGCGGGCCGGCCGGACCTGCGCGAGCAGATCATGGCGTCGCCGCGCGGGGACCAGCAGCTCGCGGCGCTCGCGGCGGCGATGCAGGCGCAGATCAACCAGCTCGCGCACACGGTGCATGAGCTGAGGAACTCGCCCGTGCGCACGGTGGCGGCGCTGCCCGCGGCGCCCGCGGCTCCCGCTCCCGCGCCCGCGGCGGCGATCTCGACGGAGCCGGAGGAGGAGTGGCCGGGCGGCGGCGATCCGAACGGCCCCGCGTCCGCGCCGAAGGACGCGGCGAGGAACCTCTTCAGCGGCGGCGTCGCGGCGGCGAACCCCACCAAGGGTTTGGGAGGGTTCACGCGCGCGACGAGGGCTCGGCTGCACGCCGCGGGCGCGGACGCGACGCTCCCGCCCGACGTGCGACTCGCGCTGCGCGCGGGCGCCGCCGCGGAGTCGGCACGCCGCACCGGCGCGCCGCCGCCGCCGCCGGACATGCTCAAGGAACACAAGGACATCAAAGCCGTGAACGAGGTCATCATTCAGTTCCTCGCGTACCGGAAGCTCGACGCGATCAACGCGGCGAACGACGGGCTCGCGGACGTGCACTTCACGTTCAACTTTTTCGATTTCCCCGGATCGACGTCGCGAGCGTGCCGTCTCACGCCGTCCGACGCGAAGCCCGGGGAGCCGCAGCTGCTCGTCCCCGAGGGCGCGGCGAGAGACACGCGCTCGACGAGCGCGGGCGCGAGCGCCAAAGCCGGCGAGGCGTGGTTCAAATTCGTCGTCGACGGCGACGGGAACGGCGCGGGGGACCGGCGGTGCGACGCGCACGACGCGATGCACGCGCGCCGCGTCGATTTCGTCGAATACCTCGCGAGAGATCAGCTCCACGTGGACGTGTGGGACGGCTCGTCGCTCATGCAGCACGGCGTCGCGAGCGTCGACTTGGCGGGGTTGCTTCGGCAGGGGAGAGAGAGCGCGGAGGTGCTCGTGGAGGCGCACGTGATGGACCACCGCGAACGCGAGTCGGGGGAGGCGGCGAAGGGCCGCCGCCGCCGCGCGGCGTTGAGCGCGGCGAGAGGGGAGAGCGCGGATGCTGACGCGGACGGCGGCGGCGTAAGCGGCGGCGCCGTGGCGCGCGGCGCGCTGCTCGTGCGGCTGATCAACGTCGGGAAAAAGCCGGAGGCGCGCTTGCTGCCGCCGCCGGGGTGGTCGCCCGCGCTCGCGGCGAGTCGAGACGCGGAGAGAGACGCCAAGACGGTGCGCGTGCGAGCCGTTCCGGAGAGCGGCGGAGAGCTCGCGGCGACGCTTCGCGGCGCCGCGGAGAACGTCCCGCCGGGTGGCGCGAAGGGGTTACAGTCGCTGACGGAGAGGAGGAAGATTGGCGACCGGTCCGTGCTTCAAGAGCAAGAGGCGCGGAAGCTGTCGAGAGAGGCGCGTCTGAAGGAGATTCGAAGCGGCGGCGGCGGCGGCGGCGTCGGCGGGTTGCAGACCCTCTCCGGCGCGCGCGTCGGCGGCGGCGGGTTGCAGACCCTCTCCGGCGCGTCGTCGTCGTCTAACCGACTCGCCCCCTCCGACGCGGACGAGCACGCGGTGCAGCAGAAGCTGTTGGAGGACATCGAGAGCGCGCGACGCCGCGCGAAACGCGCCAGCGTGCTCGAGAAGCTCCGGTCCGGGCTCGCGGCGAAAAAGACGGTTCGCCCGGCGTACGGCGAGCTGTGCTTCTTCGAGCACGAGTTCAAGTCGCCGGTGAACGTGGACTGCGTGTTCGAGGTGCGATGCGACGACCCGGAGGTCATGCTCGTCGCGTCCGCGGCGGAGTGGCGAGGTCTGCGAGAGGCGGCGGGGATGGCGCCGACGGCGGCTGGGATGGAGGATGACGCGCTCGCCGGGAACCGTCTGTTTCTCCTCGCGGGGGAGTCGGTGAAGGTGCCGTTTAAGTTTCAGTCCTTCGCCGCGTGGGACGACGGCGGCGCGGGGGGCGGCGACGAGGGGTTGCACCTGAGACCGAGGACGGTGGCGGTGCATTTCGTGAACACCGAGGACGGCGCCTCCGCGGCGGTGCTGCACGTGCACGTGAAGCCCAAGGCGATGACGGTGCAGAAGACGTTTCGGTTCCACGCGCCCGAGCACGATTTCTTCAAGGCGAGATTGTTACCCCCCGGCGGCGTGCCGACGCGCGACGCGCGCGGGAACTGCTGCCTCGCCGTGCGCGCGAGCGATCCCGCCGTCGCCGCCGCGGTGACGACGGCGACGTCGTCCGAGTCCGCCGCCGCCGCGGGCGCGCGGCGCGGGTCGGAGGAGATCGCGCTTCGGTACAAGTGCGGCGGCTGCGCGCCCGGGCCCGACGCCGCCGGACACACATCCGACGGCGGCGGCACGGTGTCCTTCTACGTGTGCGTGTACGCGGACGTCTACCTCGGCAGGCTTGCGGCGACGTGGCGGGTGTACGTGCACCCGACGCAGCGCGCGGACGTGTCCTCGCTCGTCGGGCAGACGTCGCACAGCAGCGTCGTCGTTCCCGGCGGGAAAACGACGCGCCGCGTCGCCGCGTTTTCGTCGCATCCGGACGAAGTGCAGGTGACGCCCGATCGCCTGACGCTGCCGGCGAACGCGCTCACGGAGGTGAACATCGCGTTTAGACCGCTCGTCGCCGGGAGGTTGGACGTCGTGGTGCACCTCGTCGACCTCGACCGGAGAGAGCTCGTGCACAGCCGGCTGGTGTCCACGGACGCGCGCGGACCGACCATCAACAAGACGTTCGACGTGGACCTCTCCCCGGGCGTGCGGTGTCACAAGAAGATCACGTACACGAACCCGTATCCGAAGCCGAAGGCGTTTTATCTACGATGCACGCACCCGCTTCTGTTGCACTTCCGACCGGAGAAGCTCGAGCTCCCGGCGAACGGGTCGCGGCCGATGGGGCTCACGTTTGAACCCGCGGAGGCGTGGGCGAGCCTCGCCGGGAGACGCGCGCCCTCCGAAGGCGGCGAGCCGGTGGAGGTGCTGGTGTTCATCAACGACGAAGAGGACGCGACGGAGGAGTGCTTCCGGATCAGAGTCAACGCGGACGCGGCGTACGTCGGCGCGGCGCGATAGTCGGCGCGCGTACGCACATTCTAATTTATCACGCCAACTAGAGAAGAATCATCACTCGCGTGCGAAATCGACGGTCACTTTGATCTATTGAACGCTTCGCCGCCGCGTTCCGTTCTACTCCGGGACGGGCAACCCCGCCGCCCTCCTCGCGTCTCTCCACACCGCCGCGATCGCGTCCGCGTCGTCCCTCGCGCGCAACGCCGCCTTCGCGAGCTCCATCACCCGCGCGTCGCTCAGCCCCGCGCACGGAAGCGGCGATGAGGGCCCCTCCCCGCGTCGCTCCGTCTCCATCTCCGCGCTCTTCTCCGCGGCGAGCTTCAGGACGCTCTCCGGGAGCCCCGCGAGCCGAGCGACGTTCACGCCGTAACTCTTCGGGCACGCGCCCTCTCTGAGCGCGTATAAGAACGTCACGCGCTCCGCGCCGCGGTCGCCGGAGACTTCGCAGCCCATGTGCGCCAACCGCACGCGCGCGTCGCCCGCTCGGTCGTCCGCGAGGCGGTGGTAGTGCGTCGAAAACAGCGACCGCGCGCCGAGATCGACGAGGTGGCGCACGACCGCGTGCGCGATCGCGGCGCCGTCCGTCGTCGCGGTGCCTCTGCCGAGCTCGTCCAGGGCGACGAGGGAGTTGCGCGTCGCGCGGCGGAGCATCGCCGCGGTCTCCGAGAGCTCGACCATGAACGTGGACTGCCCGCCGACGATGTTGTCCTTGGCGCCCATGCGAACGTAAATCGCGTCGGCGGCGGTCATCGTGAAGGACGCCGCGGGGACGTCCGCGCCGACGTGCGCCATGACCGCGGCGAGACACACCTGTCGCAGCAGCGTGCTCTTGCCGCCCATGTTCGGGCCGGTGAGTAAGAGGAACGGCGGCGATGCGGGCGTTTCTCCGCCCAAGAAGGTGTCGTTCGGAACGAACGCCTTCCCTCCGCTCATCGCGCCCACCGTCGGGTGGGTCAGCCGCGACGCGCTCAGCGACGGCTTCGCGTCTTCCGTCGACGGCGGCGGCAGCAACACCGGCGTGCACGTCTGCGCGCAGCACGCCGCGAGGTCTTCCGCCGCGAGCGCGAGCGAGCACAGCGCGTCGAGGCACGCGATCGCTTCCGCGGCGCGCTGCCACCGCGGCCACTCCTCGCAAAATTTCAACACGAGCCCGGAGAGAACCTTCCCGAGCGCGTCCTCTCTCGCCTCCTCCGCGGCGGCGCGCTCTTTCCGCATCGTCCCGAGCTCGGGGGAGTCGAAACGCTCGAACCCTTTACGTTTTCCTTCCCGCTGCCACCCCGCCGGGACCCTCGAGGACAGACGATCCGGAACCTCGACCAAGTGCGTGTCTTTGTTCGCGCGCACGAACGCGACTTCGCTCTTCCCGCCGCCGATTTTCTTACGCGCGTCCGACAGCCACTCCGCGAGCGCGTCGTCCGCGGCCGCGAGCCTCGCGTCCGCGGCGTCAACGGCCGCGTCCGCGCCGGGCTTCGGCTCGATCCGCCCGCTCGCGCGCGCGCCGTCCCAATCGAACGCGCGCTCGAAGTGCGCGAGCGCCTCCGTGAGCTCTGGCAACGCCGCGCCCGCGACGGCGGCGATGGCGTCCGGCGGCGCGTCCCCGCCGCCGCCCTCGGTCACGAGCGCGCGCAGCGACGGCGCGTTCGCGTCCGCGATCGCCGCGCGGACGTCGTCGAAGTCGCGCGCGATGTCCCTCGCCGCGCGCATCCCCTCGAGCGCTCTGAGAAACCCGTTCAGACGCGCTTTCGCCGCGTCCTCGTACAGAATCACGTTCGCGGCGTCGCGGCCTCGCCCGCCCGCGGCGCCGACGAGCCTGCTCACCGCGCGCTCGAGATCCGGCGCCTTTCGCATGCGCCCCTGCGCGCTTCGCAGCGCGTCCGAGGCGACGCCGCGAAGGCATCGCACCGCGCGCTGCCGCTCCTCGACCGCGAGGTGCGACCGCAGCGGACGGCACACCCATCGCCGCAGCGTCCGCCGCCCGGGCCCCGACGCGCATCGATCGAGCGAGCTCAGCAGCGACCCTCTCGACCCGCCGTCCGCGCCCTCCAGCACCTCGAGTCCGCTCAGCGCCGCGGCGTCCATGGCGACGTACCCTCCGTGCGACCACGCGGCGGCGACGGCGTCGCCAGGCCCCGGAAGCGCCTCGACGCGCCCGAGAGGGATCAAGTCGCGGTCGAGCATCGCGAGCGAGAGATAGGCGTGCATGACGCCAAACGCGCCGAGACCGGCGGCGCGTTCGCGCGCGGGCGCCGTCGTCGCGAGCGTCGCGAGCACGTCCGGGAGCTTGACGCCGCACGTCGCGCCGGCGTTCGGAGCGCTCGCGCCGCCCGCGAGCGTCGGGAAGTACGCGCCGTCCCGCAGCGCCTCCAGCGCGTCGTCCGCGCACGTGTCCCTCCCGCACGACCGCGTCTGCGCGTCGGGCGCGGCGTCTCGGATCGCGTCTCTGCGAGGGTCGAGGGTCCGTGCGAAGCGACGAATGTCGGGGTGGAGTTGAAAGGCGTCAGAAGCGAAGTTGAAAGCCGTCGAGGTGCGCCGGGATTGTGAGCGAGGGGTTGGCGGAGAGAAACATACAGTACGCCGGGAGAGAAAAGTCCTTAAGGATCGGCGTTCGCCGCGCCGACGCGGCCGTACGGGGACCAGTGTGTAGAATAGAACGCGCCTGATCGCCGGCGGCGGGCCGCCCGGCGTCGTCACCACCTCCGCGGGTCGCAACGTCGCGAGCGCGGTTCGAAGCCCGGACAGGTGCGCGTCGTCGAGCCACGCGCCGAGGAGGAACCGGCCGGTCGCGCAGTCCGCGGCGCAGACGCCGACCCACCGCTCGTCCTCGGCGCCCTCCCCCGTCGCGACGGCGCCTCCGTCAAACGTCGCGACGCAGTACGCCGCGTCGGGGGACGCCTCGCACATCTCCGGGTCGACCAGCGTCCCGCGCGTGAGCACCGCGACTTTCTCGCGCATGACGACGTTATCTCTCGTCTTCCCCGCAGCCTTCCTCTCCGCGAGCTGCGCGGGGGTCTCCGTCTGCTCGACGATGACGACGCGGTGCCCCGCGCGCGCGAGTCGCTCGGCGTTGGCGGCGTAATTCTTCTCCGGAAAGCCGCAGTGCGGCTGCTCGCCCTTCATGTACATCAGACCCAAGTCCGCGGCGCCGACGTGTGCGTCCATCTCGAAGAGCTCGTAGAACTTGCCCATCTTGAACATGATGACGCTGTCGAAGTGCGACGCTTTGAAGCGCCACCACTGCGCTTGGCCGGGGGACACCGTGAACGGCTTGCCGTTGGCGTCTTTGCACTTTGGGAAATCTTTCGGGAGGAGCAGCGTGGACTTGTCGTACCCCGGTTCGTTCGGGCGTTTCCCGCTCGCGTCGCGGCGGTTCTCCGGCTGCAGCCACGGGAACTGAAGGCGGTCGCGGTCCGCGTACTGCGCCGGGCCCGCGAGCGCGGCGGCGGCGGCGTTCGGCGCGCCGTCGCCGTCGCCGTCCGTCGTCGTCGTCGTCGCCGCCGTCGCCGTCGCCGTCGCCGACGCCATGCGCTCCGCGAACGATTTGGCCGCGTTCGGGTTCCGCGACGACGCGTCGATCGGAGGGAGCGTCGCCGGCGGCGGCGCGGCGGCGGTGGACCTCTTCGCCGGCGACGCCGCGGACGTCTTCTTCTTCGCGGGCGGCGGCGCGCGTTTCTTCTTCGCCTCGGCTCCGTATGACTCGCTCTCGCTCGCGTCGTCGTCGCTCGCGTCGTCGTCGTCGTCGTCGCTCTCTTCCTCTTCGACGTCGAAGTCGCTCTCTTCATCGTCGCCGCCGTCGTCGCCGTCTCCTTCTCCTCCATCGAAGTCGACGTCGCTGTCGCTGAGGACCACTTTCCTCTTCGCGCTCGCGCGCGACGGCCGCGACGCTTCTCCTCCGCCTTTACCTCCGCCGCCGACTTTTTTCAGCGCCGCCGCCGCCGCCGCGCGTCTCGCGGTGACGCGGCCGCCTCGTCTCTTCCCTTCTTCCGCGCCCAACGCGTCGTCGTCGTCGTCGTCGTCGTCATCGCTCGCCGCCGCCGCGGTGTCGCTCTCGTCGCCGTCGTCGTCGTCGTCGTCGTCGTCGCCGCCCTTGGCCTCCGCGGCGGCGGCTTCGTCCCACTTCACGCGGCGCTTTTGAATCGCGATCCACTCGTCGTCGCCGTCGTCGTACAGGACGCGATGCTTCTTTCTCTTCGCGTCGAACGCGGCGACTTTCCCGGCGTAGAAGCGCTTCTCTTTCTTCCAGAACACCGCGATCCGTCGCCCGACGTCCGCTCTCCCGTCCTTCACGTCGTCGTCCTCCTCCTCGTCCATCTCCATCGCGCTCGGCGGGGACGGCTCGGATTCGACGATCGCCGCGCGCTTCTCCGCGACCGCCGCGGTCGCGGTCGACGGCGCGTCCGGCGTGCTCGTCGCGAGAGGCGGCTCGTCCTTCTCCTCCTCCGCGCGCTCGTCCGTCTCCTTCCTCGCGACCGCCCCGGGCGCGGTCGTCGCGTCGAGCTTCGCCGCTTTCGCCGCGCGGGGCTCGTCGTCGCGATCGTCGCGGTTCTCGTCGGGCGAATCCGACGTCGCGGCGTCCGGCTTCGGCTTCGCCGACTCCGGCGCCGCGGACGTCTTCGGCGTGTTCGTCCGCGGCGCGAAGAAGCTCGAGATGCTCCGCATCCCCTTCGCGTCGTTCGGGGTCTTCGGCGGCGCCATCGCGGCCGTGTCCGCTCCAGTCGGAGTCGCTTGGCGAAATCTTGTTGTTTTGAACCGCCGCTGAAGTTGGTCGAAATATTAGCAAGGAAAATGGGCCTGCCAACAGAGGTTCAACAGGCCAAAAAAATCCATGGACAATCCGCCAACCGCCAACAGCTTCTTCGCGCGCTAAAGGTCGTCGATTTCGCGCGCGCGCGCTCACACCGCACCGCGCGCGTCATGGCGACGACGGCGCCCCCCGCGGAGAGTATAGCATCGGTGCGCGCGCGTTTCGACGATTCCCGTTTTTTGACTCCCTCCTCCCGCGCGCGGCGTCGCGCGAGCGCGCGAATCCTCGCTCGCGCGATCGACGACCCCCGAAAGGACGCGCGACGAAGGCCATCGAATCGCCGCTGACGTCACCGCCTCCTCCGCCTCCTCCTCCTCCTCCTCCCGCCTCGCGCGCGTCACCGCAGGGACCCCGCGACGCGTCGGGGTCCAAAACACACGAGACGCGCGATTCGCGCGGGACGTTCAAGCACGCGAAGCGCGCGTTCCGAAGCACCGCGTTGATGGCGGTGGACGAGGACGCGGAGGCCGCGTGGGAGGACGATCATCGTCGTCGTTCCTCGTCCGGAGACCGCGGACTTCCGTCTCGACTCGCGCACCTGCGAGGCCCCTCCTCGACGACGCCCGCCGCCTCTCGCGCGCCGCCGCCGGCGCGGCCGACGGTGCAGCCGACCGTGCGAACGGCCTCCGGGAAGACGCTGATGGGCCCGTGGGTCGGACGCTTCGCGCGCGCGGACGCGGATCTCGCGGACGCGGGGGGCGCGTCGTCACAGCTGTGCGACTCGGACGAGGAAGATTTCTTCATCGCGCGCTCCTCGTCGCCGATAGACGTGATGGACGCGGACCCGCCCACGCCCGAGAGCTGCGCGCGTTATACGCCGCGCGGCGCGAAGCGCCATTCGGCGGCGGCGTTCTCCTTCGACGCCGTCGACGTCGACGCGCTGACCGACGTCGCGTTCGCGGGCCCGGACGAGACGCCGACGGATCACGCCGCGGTGACGCGCGAGCTGATGCTCGAAGACGCCATCACCGGCCGCGCGGCGGGAGGCGCGGGCGCGGACGCGAGGGCCCGCATCCTCCCGTGGTCCTCCCCGCCCGGGACCGGGGTTAAGCGCGATCACGCCGAGCCCGCGCCCGCGTTCGATACGCGTCGGTTCGCGCGCGGGAGCGGCGGGCGGGGACGACGAGAGGCGCGGAGCGCGCCCGCGGCGACGCGACGCGTCGGGGGCGCGCGCGTCTCGGCGCGGACCAAGGCGAGGGCGCCGCACGCGGTGGCGAGGGCGACGAAAGAGAAGCTCGCGTCCACGCGTTTGGAAGCGACGGGCGGGGAGGCGTCCAGGGGGTTGTTCGGCGGAGGGAAGAACACCGCGTTCGGGTCGAGGAATAACGGCGCGAGGAACACGATGGGGACGAGGTGTCTCCAGCCCCGAGGCGGCGGCGGGCTCATGTAAAATTCTGTCTGTACGACCACGCACTGCCGTGTGTACGTGTATCTATAACTTATAACGAAGCCGCGTGTCAAGAAATCAGAGCGAATAAAACAGCGAGTCGTCGTCGTCAATCACTCAATTTAACATTACAAAACAGAAGAAAGAATCGTCGTCGTCTGGTCGAGGCCGCCGCTCACTTGTAGCACACCCGCTTCGCGACGCGCACGATGTCGGCGACTTTCGGCAGCGCGAGGTCTTCCAAGTTCTTCGCGTACGGCATCGGAATGTCCACGCCGGTGATTCTCTCGACGGGCGCGTCGAGGTGATCGAACGCGTCCTCCATGACCATCGCCGCGATCTCCGCGCCGACGCCCGCCTGCGGCCACCCTTCCTCGACGACGACGATCCTGTTCGTCTTTCGCACCGACGCCGCGATGGCGTCTCGGTCGAGCGGGCGCAGACAACGCAGGTTGATCACCTCCGCGTCGATGCCTTCCTTCGCGAGCTCCTCCGCGGCTTTCTTGCACTCGCCGACCATCTTGCTGAAGCTCACGAGCGTGACGTCGCTCCCGGGGCGCATCACGAGCGCCTTCCCGAGCGGCGCGACGTGCTCGGGCGACAGCGCCTCCTTCGAGATCGGAAAGCTCTCGCCGTACAGGAGCTCGTTCTCGAGGAAGATCACCGGATCCGGGTCGCGAATCGCGGCTTTCATCAACCCCCTCGCGTCCTCCGCGTCGTACGGCACGACGACTTTCAACCCCGGGATGGACATGTACCACGCGGCGAAGCACTGCGAGTGCTGCGCGCCCACGCCCGCGGCGGCGCCGTTCGGCCCTCTGAACACGATCGGACAAGAGATGGTCCCCGCGGACATGTACAGCGTCTTCGCCGCGGTGTTCACGATGTGATCGATCGCCTGCATCGCGAAGTTGAACGTCATGAACTCGACGACGGGTTTGAGACCCATGAACCCGGCGCCGCACGCGAGCCCCGCGAACCCGGCTTCCGTGATGGGCGTGTCGCGCACGCGCTCGGGGCCGAACCGCTGGATGAGCCCCTTCGTGATCTTGTACGCGCCCTGGTAGTCGCCGACTTCCTCGCCCATGATGAACACCTTCTGGTCTCTCTCCATCTCCTCCGCCATCGCGCTGTTGAGCGCGTCGCGCACGGTCATCATCGTCGCGTCGGCGCCGTGCGCCGGCGCCGTCGCGGCAGCGCCGGCGTCGTCTTCGATCTGGCGCCCCGCGGCTCGGCTGCCGGTGAGCGGCACGCCGCGTTCGCCGATCGGGCGGTAGTCCGGGCGCTCGAGGACCGCGCGCGCGGGCGCGGACGCGGACGCGGCGTCTGCCGGGCTCGCGCCGCTCGGGCTCGCGTCCTCCGCGGGCGGGACGTAGTCCTTGAACGCGCCGACGGCGTCCTGCTCCTCGCAGAGCACCGCGACGGGCTTTCCGACGGGAACGTCCTCCGCGCCCTCCGCGACTAAGATCTTCGCGACCCAGCCGTCTTCCATGGACTCCATCTCCATCGTCGCCTTGTCCGTCTGGATCTCCGCGAGGATGTCCCCCGCGGCGACGAACTCGCCCTCCTTCTTCTTCCACGCCGCGATGCCGCCGTGCGTCATCGTCGGCGACAGCGAAGGGAACGGGACGATCTGATGCGAGGGGAGGTCGTCGCTCGACGCGGCGCTCGACGCGGCGAACCCGCGCGCGTCGCCGCCGCGGCGCGAGGTGGACGGGGCGCCGCGCTCGTCCTTCGCGTCGAGAAGCCTGCGTCGCGGGAGGGGGTCGGGGTGGAGGGGGCGTCAGAGGGCGATCGGATCGAGCGGCGGGGAGAAGACGAGAGGGGACGCGGACGCCGCGTTCGTTTCACGCGGCGCGACGTTTCGCGAGGAGGATGTTGTTGAATTGCCTCGCCGCCCCGCGAGACGACGATCGCGACGACGACGACGACGACGACGACGACGATCGCGACGCTCCGCGATCCGGGGAGCGACGCGAACCCGCGCGGGGATCCACCCGCGCGGGGATCCACCCGCGCGCGCGCCGCCGGGATCGCGTCCGCGCGGCGCCGCGCGTCGTCGACCGAAAAGACGACGATTGGTTGATGGACGGACGCCTCTGCAGAGCACGCACCCGTGCGCGTAGGACCCGCTCGCGCACGGCGCCTGGCCGACGCGCGCGGCATACGCGGACCGGATCACCGCGGTCGCGCGACGAAGCGCGGACCTCGACGCCATCGCGCGAGTTTTTGCGTGATCGTCCGAGGCGGAGCGCCGTGAACAGTGCGCGAGAGGGGGGCGGGAGGCGCGATCGGCAGAGATATTTTTTGGGCCGGCGCGGCTCGCGCCGGCGCTCGCGTTTTCAGCGCTCGCGGCCGGGATGGATGGTTGCTCGCGCGGGTCGCACTCCGAGCCGCGCGTCGTCGGCCCGAGTCGACGCTCGCGACGATGACGAGCAGCGTGGAGACGCTGTCGCAAGGTGCGCGCGCGCGCGTCCCGCGCCCCTCCGTCACCCTCGCGCGTCGCCGCCCGCCGTCGCCGCCGTCGCCGTCGCGTCCGTCCCGCGCGTCGCTCATTCACTCACTCATCTCTCGTCCTCTCTCGCGCCGTCTCCCCGTCTCTCCTTCTCGTCCAGGCTTGCAGCGCGAAATCGCGCCCGCGGTGAGCGACTGCGACGCGTCCGCGCGCGCGTCCGCGCGCTCGCAGTCGAGCCTGACGGCCTCCATCGAGCGCCTGCACCGCGAGCTCGAGGCGCTCCTCGCGGCGGTCCCCGAGCCCGAGGCGCGCGCGCACGCGGACGCGATCTCGGGGCTCAAATCGCGCGTCGCGACGCTCAGGGCGTCGGCGCTCGCGACGCGCGCGAAGATGGTCAGGATACACGCCGGCGCGAAGGCGATGCGCAGGGTGGACCTCGCGGCGGTGCTGGACGACGACCACGACGGGCTGCCGCCGCGGGAGGATCTGTACGTGGGGGAGAGAGACGACGACGACGACGACGACGACGACGACGACGCGGAGGCGTCGGAGGCGTCGGAGGCGTCGGAGGAATCGGCGTCGGCGTCGGCGTCGGAGAGGACGACCGGGACGCCGCGGTCGACGCGCGGCGGCGGCGCGACGGAGACGGACGCCTCCGGGGACGACTGGCACGACGCGGACGACGCGAACGTAGACGATAGCTTTAGAACCACCCCGGGGAAGGAGTAGTCGAGGAGAACGAACTGAACGAACGCTATCGCGCGCGCGCGGACTCGACGACAAAAAACTCGACGACGTCAAAATCAAAACTACGCGCCTCGTCGCGCGTCAACGCTTCGACCCCGGGCCGTACCCCGGGAGCGCGTTCAAGCCTAGCCTAGCCTCCATGACGCTGTGGAGGTCCTGCCCCGCCCTCGGCATCTCCGCCCGGTCCGCGGGGTTATCCAGGTAGCTCTCGAACCCGAACCTGTCGACGTCGCCGGACATGATCTCCGAGCCGAACCTGGACGACGGGAGCCCGGGGAGTCGGCGATGCTTCGCCAGGTACTGCGCCTCGATGTCCATCCGCGCGGGCATCGCGACGCCGTACGTGTTCGCGAGCATGTGTCTCTTTTCCGCCGCGGCCATCGCCGGACCCTGTCGATCGCGGCGGAAGGAACGAACGAGGCGCGCGTCAGCGACGAACGAAGACGCGCGGACGCGAAGTTAGGGTTGCGCGGAGGAGGAGACGACGCGCGAGATCTGGCCGCGAGAAGACGCGCCTGCTCTTGGATGATCTCGACCGGGTGACGGCTCAGGTGCGAGACCTCCGCTTTCGCGCCCGGGAGACCATTTCTCATGGCGTCGTGCGGCTCGCGCGCGAACGGCATCTCGGACGCCATCTCGTTCGTGCGCGACGTCGCGCGTCTCGAAGTGCGCGCCCGCGACGAAAAAAGCGACGAAGCACGCGGTCGTCGCGCGTCTGTTCAAACGGCGAAGTTTGACGACGAGGGGCGACTGGACTGCTGAATAACGCACCCGCGAAGCACTCCTAATAAGTCTAGCTAGTCTACCTACTCACAGCACGTACGGCACCATCGCCCACCTGTCGCGCGGGTACTCGGGCATGTTCTTCAGGTACCACGCGTGGTTCCTCCTCGCCGCGAGCGCGAGGTTCGCGAACACCGCGAGAAGCATCGCGAGCGCCGACCTCGTCCGCGTCGCGTCGTCGCTCGCGTGCGCGACGCACAACCCGAGATAGAGAACGCACTCGGCGAGGTAGTGCGGGCACGACACGCGCTCGAACCATCCCCCGCGCGGGATGCCGTACCCCTCCGTCGCACGACGACGACGACGACCCGCGCGCTCGTCCTCCTCCTCGGCTTTCGTCGTCGTCGTCGTCGTCGGCGGCGGCGGCGGCGGCGGCGCGCGCGCGTGTACCCTCGAGGTCGTTCTATACGAGCGAACGTCGGGGTGGCGTTCAAAGGCGTCAGGTGGAGTTGAAAGGCGTCGAGGGCGGGGATCGTGAGCGAGGGGTGGGCGGAGAGAGGCGAACGCCGGGAAATGTCCTCAAGGATCGGCGTTCACCACGCCAACGCGGCCGTATGGGGACCAGTGTGATACTAGAACGCGCCTCAACTCCGCGAGCGTCCGGTGCGCGCAGCGCTGCGCGACGTTTCCGACGACGAAGAGCGCGACGCCGAGCGCCAGACGCGCGCCACGCGCCGCCCGCTCCGCGTCGCCCCCTCCGCCGACCCACGCGACGACGCACCGCGCGAGACGCCTCGGGTAACGGCACGACGTCGTCTCTCTCGCGGCGTCGAGCATCGTCCGCGTCAGCGCGCCGAGAGCGCCAAGAGCGCCGCCGCCGCCGCCTCGCGTCGAGATTAAAATTTTATCGACGACCGCCGCCGGCGCGAATGTGAGCGGCGCGAGGACGTAGTACGCCATCCCGACGAGGTACCCCGCGACGTGCATCCTCGCCTCCGCGCGATACGTCGAGATGAACGCGCTCTCGTGCGCGCGTCGCGCGATGTGGACCTGGAAGAGGACGTGGACGACGACGCCCCGCGCGGCCGCCGCGGCCGAGGCGTTCGTCGTCCCTCCGTCGGCGTCCATCGCGTCGTGTAACGCCGCGAGCGCGAGGAGCGTCAGCGCGGCGTTCACGATAAATCCGAGGACGTAGAAGTGCGAGAACCACGCGTGCGGGACGGTGAACGCGCGGCGTTTCTTCGCGCGCGCGCCGGCGTCGTCGTTCGCGTCGTCGTCGTCGTCGTCGTCGTCGTCGTCGTCGTCGTCGTCGTCTTTCCCTCGCGATGCGAGCCCTCGGAGGAACGACGTCGCGAACGGGACGAGGTCGCGCTCCGCGATCACCGACGCGGACGCGAACGCGAGCCAGAACGTCGCGAGCGCGGTCGACACGACGTCCGCGTCCACGAGCGGGGGAGGGGAGCGCGTCGTCATCGCGTCGGCCGGCGTCGGGTGTGCCGAGGAATGACGATCACGTCGGCACACCGTTCGGCATTTGACAGTCGAACATAAAATGTTCATCGGTGAGTTGAAAGTGAACGCGATTCAATAAGGTTATTGAAACCGAGGGATGGGTGAAAAACGTTCGTTTCGAACGCCCCTGTATATGTCGGTTCGAGGACATCGCTTTTCGGGCGCGGGCGACGTTGACCGAGGTCATAACGTCCGCGCGAGTGTCACGTCACACCCGCTCATCATGTCTTTCTTCGCCAAGGAAAACGCCGCTCCCATGTGCGTCCCGCCCCCGTCGAGCGCGGCGCGTCGTCGGCGACGACGCCGACTCCGCACGCCGTCGTCTCGCGTCGCGCGTCGCAAATCTAATCTCGTTCCCCCGTTCAATGTTGGCACCGCGCGCGGCTTTTCCTTCGACCCGCGCGCGGGCGGCGCATCGCGCGTCGACGTCCGCGCTCGCGCGGTGTCGCGCCGACCGCGCGCGTCGCGTGCGTCGTCCGCGACCGCGCGCGTTCGCTCGCGTCGGGACGCGACGCGCGAACGCGCTCGCGTCGCGGGACGGATTCGAAACGCGTTCGTGACAGCTGTGATGGATTGATTATGATTAGAAAGACGCCGCGTCGCCTTCGCGGCGACGTTCGACTGACGCCCGCTTCCCCCGAACGACACCAACCCCGCGCTCCGTCCAAAACGACCAGCCCCCACGCGGCGTACGGCGCCAAGCCCGAGAGGCAGCACGGCGCGGGCCCGTCCCAGATCTCGTTCGGGAACTACGAGGAGCCCCCCGGTCGATCCGCCGCCGGCGTCGTCGGTCGCGACGCCAACGTCCCGTACGGCGCGCCGTCGCAGGCGCGCGCGGTGAGCTCGAACGCGTACGCCAACGGCGCGGATCAGAACTGCGGGAACTACATCACGGACCGCCCGTCGACGCGCCTGCACGCGCCCCCGGGTGGCGTGTCGCAGATCTCCCTCGGCGGCGGGTACGAGGCGCCCGCGAGGGCGTCCGTGACCGGCGGCGGCGTCGCGTACAAGTCCGCGGCGAAGGCGCGCGAGGAAGCGGGGCACGACATCTTCGGCACGGGCGGTCCCGCGCCGGCGCCGCAGCAGCAGCGGGCGTACCACGAGCCGGAGACGGCGGCGTACGCGCCCGCGCCCGGCGGGAAGGTGGAAGCCGAGGAGCTGGACATCAAGAACATGATGCACGCGGATCTCCGAACGCTGTGCCGCGACCACGGCCTGTCCCCGGCCGGGTGCAAGAACACGCTCGTGGAACGCGTCGTGGAGGCGATGACGTGCGGGCGAATCAGGGTCATGGTCCCGGAGAGGGGCGTCTGCGGCGCCGCGGCGGTCGGGAACAACTACACGCGCGCGGAGGGGCAGAACACCGGGAACTTCATGACCGGGCGGAACTCCAGCCGCGTGCTCGCGCCCCCGGGCGGCGGGTCGAGCTTCTCGCTCGGGTAATTCGCGCGGGCGGTGGCCTGATGTGTTGTGTACGTTCGAACGTGTTGTATTGTAGCTTACGATGAACGAGGGTGGGTGTGGGAGGGGATCTCCCGATGAACGGAACGAACGGACGAGTTGACGAGTAATACGAATGATGAGAACCTCTCTACGATTGATGATCTACGGTGCGCTAGTCGCTATCGCTCGCTACTACGTCGTCCACCGTGAGCTTATTCATAGCCTTCACGTTCGCGACAGTCTTCTCCTCGTCGTCCGACGACGACGCCTCGAGTTTCCTCTGCAACCGCGCCACCGCCGGACTCGCCGGCGGCGACTTCGGCGGCGACTTCAGCGGGCTCGAGAGCGGCGACCTCGACGCCGCTTCTCCGTTCGCCGCCGCCGCCTCTCGCTTCGGCGACTTCGGAAACCGGATGTACTCGTACGGCGGCGCGGGCGCGTCCGTGCGCGCGTACACGTACATCATCGACGGCCCCCACGACATGCGTCGCTCGCGCGCCTCGAGCAGCGTCCAACATTCGCCGACGGCTCCCTCCGTCTTGTCGTCCGGATTCGTCACGTCCACGAACCGCTGTCGCAGCGTCACCGCGAGCGCGCCCGGTCGCAGCAGCTCCATCGCGCGCGCTTCGATCTTCGCGAAGAGCTGCTCGGAGAAGCAGCACGAGTTTATCAGCACGACGTCCGCGTCGCCCCAGCCGTCGTCGTCTAAGAAATCCCCTCGGATCATTCTCACGCGCGGCGCGCGCGCGCCGCCGCCGCCGTCCTCGTCGTCGTCGTCGTCCATCGGCAGCGTCCCGCTCGCGACCGCGTGCGCGCGCATCGCCGCGGCGATCGCCGGCGCGCACTCCGCGTCGTACAAGGACACGAGCTCCGCGCCGAGCGCGTGCAGGCCTCTGAGGCACTCGATCCCGACGCACGACTCGAACGGGTGCAACGTCGCCGCGGCGAACGCGGGCCTGCCGACGCCGGCGCCGAGGTCGACGAGCTTGGCGCCCTCGCGGGGTATCCGCGCGCGGTGCGTCTCGAAGAACGCGACGAGGGACATGAACCCGAACTCGCCGTACACGAGGTCGCGCACGGACTCGTCCTCGTCCCTCGCGAAGACCTCGTCGCGGCATCGCTCGCGCGCGAGCGACCCGGGGTGGTCTCTGAAGAGCTCCTCCAGGAGGAGCATCGCGCGTCGCGGCGGGAGGACGCCGGAGGACGCGTCCGGGGTTTCCACCGGAGGCGGGCGCGTCGCCGCGGCCGCGAGGCGGGCTCTGATGGCTTCGGCTGCGGGTTTCGAGATGGGGGTCGGGACGGATGGGGGTGGGGTGGGGGATCAGACAGGACGGACGCGTCGAGGAGGGAGAGGCCGTTCGTTCGTTTCGACTCGCGCGTTCCGCGACGAGGGAGACGAGACGTAGACGTCCGCGTCCGCGTCCTGTCGTCGAGCGAGGCGCGCGCGCGACGCGAGCGCGACGCACCTCGGACCGCGTCCGCCTCGGCGCGGAAGTTCATCAGGCTCGGGCCGTACGCCACGAGCGTGTCCCTCGCCCCCGCCCTCGCGTCCTCGTCGTCCTCGTCCGACATCGCGCGCGGCGGATTTTGAAGGGCCGGCGCTTCCATCAGCGCCGGTTCGCGGCGCCGCGCCGGGCGACGTACGCGTACGTACGTGCTATTTATACTATTTGCTCATAGACATCGTAGATCTCGTTTCTCACGTCTCTGGGCGACGTGGCGGCCCTCCGCGCCAGGGTTTTGGTGGCGACGGAGCCGGCGACGTCATTATCCTCGCCGCGCACTCGCACGGTCGTCATGGCGTCCGCTGTCGCACTCTCCGCGCTCCCCACGGTCACGCGTAAGCCGCCGACGCGCGCGGTCGCGCTCCGCAGCCGCGCCGCGTTCGCGTGCCGCGCGTCGTCCTCCGGCGATAAGGACGTCGTCGATTTCGGAGCGATTCCGAGAGGCATGGGCTTTCCGAAAGGCGAGGGCTTCGCCTTCGGCGACGCCGACGCGGCGACGAAGACGTCCACCACGCCGTCGTCGTCCATGACGCTGTTCTCCTCCCCGCTCGCGACCGCCGCGCCGCTCTTCGCGCTCGCGGAGGGGTTGCGAGACGACATCAAGCCGTCGTACTTCGCCACGCTCGGGCTCTTCGTCCTCTCCGCGCCCGGCCTGTGGTCGCTCGTGAAGCGCAGCGCGAAGAGCAAAGTCGATCGAAAGACGTTCGAGGTCGCGGGACCGAGCGCGACGCCGTCGATGCCGCTGGACGAGCTCGCGCGGGAGATCGCGGCGTTCTTCAGGCGGAACAACTACGTCGTCGCGGACGCGGGGGAGGTCATCACGTTCGAGGGAAACATCGCCCCGGAGAAGGGCACGGCGGCGTACATCACGTTTTGCGTCGCCGTCGGGTTGCTGTGCATCGCGCTCGTGTGCTCGATCGCGCTGCCGGGCGGGAACTTGTGGTACTCCATCGCGCTCATCTCGCCGCTGTCGGGGACGTATTACATGGTGCGTTCGTCGCGTCGCGGTTTGTTTGTCGCGCCTCGTTCGGTTCGTCTCTCTCTCTCGCGTTTTCCGTCCGCACAGCCGTGCGTCTCGCCGACCGACGATCGCTCCCCGCTCACCTCCGCTTCCTCTCGTCTCCGCCCCATCGCAGGACAACGCCGGGAGGAAGGAGAAGGTGAAGGTGAAGATGGTGACCGCGGACGACGACATGACGACGGACATCATCGTGGAGGGGGACGTGGAGGAGATCGAACGCATGCGCCGGGACCTGAACCTCGTGGAGAAGGGCAAGGTGTACGTGAAAGGCATCCTCGAGCAGTGATGAGCGCGAGATAGATATTATTTCGTCGAGAGGCGCGCGCTTGTACATACGAAGCGAGCACGTTACGCGCGCGCGTCGCGTCGTCGTCGGTCGTCGTGGCTGCCGCGCGGTCTGCGGACTTCCCGCGGCGGCGGCGGCGGCGGCCCGACCGAAAACCGCTCGAGGCGAAATTGCGATTTTCGCGAGATCTGGAACGCGAAGCGTCAGCGTCAGCAGATCTGACGACACGCTCCGGCGGGGCGCACGCCGGCGACATGGCGCGCCAACGCAAAACGTTTAATTTCCGCGTCGCGCAGATGTTCGTCTACTTCCCGGGTGCGTCCGTCGTCCGCGCGCGCGCGCCGCGCCCCCGCGTCGCGCGCGGCCGCTCTCGCCTCGCCGCGACTCGCCCCTCTCGTTCGTAACTGACATCTGACGCGACACCCGCGCATCGTTGCATCTCGTTTCGTCCCCGCGCGCGCAGGCGTCGTCGTCCTCTTCAACGTCGCCGCCGTGGGCGTCATGGCGTGGGCGCTCTCCCGCGTGACGATGGAAATCGACACGACGTTGGACTCGTACAAGCAGAGCGACACCGTCGCGAGCTTCCGCGAGGACCAGGCCGCGATGTTCTACTACTACGACGAAGCGCTGTTCCACCCGCCGCTGGGGGAAAACGCGACGTTCCTCGCGGAGATGCGCGCGCTGCGAGCCGCCGCCGCGGCCGCGGGGACCCTGAACGCCGCGCCCGCGATCCCCTCGCCGAACGCGCCGCGCTCGTCGCTGGACGCCGCGCTGATGAACCCCACCGCGGGGCTCGGCGGCGGCGGCGGCGCGGACGAGCTCCACGTCTTGGTTCGCGCGTCCGACGACGCCGGCGACGTGTTCGCGCCCGACATCTCCCGCGCGACGTGCGAGCTGAAACGCGCGATCGAGCGCGACGCGATGTACGCGGGCGAGGTGTGCGAGCGGGCGGGGCGGGGGCGCGACGGGCCGTGCCATTCGACGTTCTCCGCGTTCGACGTTCGAACGGCGTACCGGATGATCGGCCTCGGCGGCGCGTTCGATGGGTTCGTGGCGCTCGCGACGTCGCTCGCGAGCTTCGAAGAGAGCGGCGGCGGCGGCGCGGGGAACGAGACCGTCGCGGATGCGCTGAGGCGCGCGCGCGACGCGTGCGCCGCGGGCGAGAGAGGCGAGGTCGATGCGGGGGAGGTTTTGTGCGCGTCGACGCCGTCCTTGGGTTGCGACGCCGCCGCGTGCGCCGGCGACGAGCTCGGCGCGAAGGCGTGCGTCGTCGGCGGCGGGCTCATCGACGCGTGCGCGTGGCTGGACGCGTCGGCGGTGACGCCCGCGGACGTCCGCGCGCTCGCGGCGTTCCCGACGACGCCGCTCGACGCGGGCGAGTGCGGCGCGCTCGCGTCCGCGTCAGGCGGCGACGAGATGCGAGCCGCGTTGCGCGTCGGCGCGGTCGCGATACGATGGGCGCGCGCGGGCGAGCGACGGATGGCGTCGTTCGCGATGCCGTGGCGGCTCCTCGCATCCGATACTTTCGGTGAAACTGTCGGACGGGACGTGTCGGACGTGTCGGACGCGGACGCGCTCCGGAGCGACGTCACGCGGCTCGTGTTTCGCCTGCGCGGCAAGGACCTCTCGCAGAAGGTGTCGGCCGCGACGAAGTGGGCGATGCACGACGTCGGCCCGAACGTGATCGAGACGTGGCGCGCGAGGAGCGGCGACGGCGGGCGCGTCGTCGCCGCCGCGTCGTGGCGCCAGACGTGGGCGTTCCGGGAGCTCGGGCTCGCGACGCTGTGGGAAGACCTGAGGTGGGCGATCGGGTCGGGCGCGCTCACGTTCGCGTTCGTGTGGTGGCACACCTCGTCGCTGTTTCTCACGGTCGGCGGGATGGCGGCCGTGTGCTCGTCGCTGATCGCCGCGCAGTTCGTGTACGTGTACGTCGTCGGCGTGACGTGGGTCGGTCTGTTGAGTTTCATCGGGATATTCCTCATTTTGGGCATCGGCGTGGACGACGTGTTCATCATCTTAGAATTTTGGAGGCAAGCCGCGGACGAGCACGGAGACGGAACCGACGCGACGCGAGGGGAAGACGCGACGGGGGCCCTCGGCGACAACGCGCTCGTGAACCGGATGACGTGGACCGTGAGAAAATCGCAGTACGTCGTCACGATGACCTCCCTCACGACCGCGATGGCGTTCGCGATAAACCTGTCGTCGCAGATCGCGCCCATTCGGCTCTTCGGCGCGTTCATGACCGCTCTCGTGGCGTGCAACTACTGGCTCGTGTGCACGTCGTTCCCCGCGCTGCTCGTGCTGCGGCACCGGTGGGGCCCGCGGACGCGCCGCGCAGCACGCCGCGCGCTCGCGGGCGTCGCGCGCGGGTGGCGCCGCGCGACGCGGCGCCGGCGACGACGACGGGACGCGCCGCGCGAGGAGGCGTCGGCGTCGACCGCCGCGGAGGCGGACGCCGCCGCGGCGGTGGTGGAACGCGCGCACGGGTTGCCGCCCGCGACCGTCGTCGCGCGACGGCGGTCGTCCTACGGCCACGTCTACGCGGTGGCGCATCGGCGTAGGCCGAGCGGCGGGTTCGGCGGCGGCGGCGGCGCGAGGGGCGCGCACCACCGGCGGTTTCACTCCACGGTGCCGTGCGCGTTTCACCCCGACGACGGCGGCGTCTTCAGCCCGAAGAAGCCGTCGTTTTCGTCCGTCGGCGCGGTGGGCGCGACGGCGAGCGAGAGGAAGGCGGCGTCGCGGACGACGCGACGGACCGTCTCCCTCGGCGGCGGCGCGACAGGAATCGCCGGACGCGATTCGAAGCACGACTTTTTCTTCGACGCGCTCGCGTCCCCGGACAGCGCGATGGACATCTACGAGTACTTCAAAGACGTCGCCGGGACGAGCTCGAGCGACGACGCCGCCGACGAATACCCAGACTTCGTCACCGCCGCCGGGAGCGTCGCGGACGCCGACGAACGACGCGCCGCGCGGCGGCGCCTCCTCCCGTGCTGCGGCGCCGGCTCGGACCCGGACTCGAACCGGAAAGGCGACTGCGTCGACCGCGCGATTCACCGCCTCGCGGACTTTGTCG